GAGAGAAGGACAAACTTCTGCGGAGGGATATTGTGCTGCTGGACAACCACAGGTGAATCAGTGATGGGGATTTGGTCCTTGTTCAGAAGAGTAGAAATCTTGATTGGCCTCTCCTCATTGAGGGCGCAAAGAGCCCAAGAGTGTCCATCTACATTAGACATCATCTGTAGCAGAACACAGAAGTAAGAGAGGCACATTGAAAGATTTGTATTAACCAGTGAATTCTGTATACACAGGGTGCACTACGGAGGAGCAATCAATTGTATTTACACAACTAAAGCGACACCTAAAATTTTAATCAATTTATTCGGTTTCATTTGTGCCTACCTGAGTCTCCATCAAGGGTTTTTTGAAGGGGAAGGAGTCATGGTTGATGCACCACAGAATGTCACTGTCCTCTGTCTCAGAAGCAGCCATTAAGAGAACGCCTGCAAGATTTAAAATAAAGAAAAGACAAAATGGTATTACAGGAGCTCTAGATTATTGGCACCAGTGTGCCTGTACACTGGTGAGCTGAACATAGCATTAAAAGTTAAAAGGATAGCAGATAAAATTGTTTTTACCTTTACTGTGTAGTGCCTTATGGACCTTTGCAGGTTTCTCTAGGGTTGAAGATGCAGAAAACCCTGGTGGCAGACGGACATGGACCAAAGCTAGCAGGCTGGGTCGAAATGCCATGTGCCTCTGGTGTGGAGACGCAAAAGGTGTGGTGCTGAAGTAGAGACGGACACCTACAGAACACAGGCACGCATTAAAAGGTTAGACATTATATTCCCCTATACGTATCCTACTATTTTTGCATCTTCACAACTGTCCTGTAATCTTTACCTGCATGAGTGACAGCGAGCAGGTGACAGTCTGAGGACTCAGATCTGTCAATCACAGAGATCTGGACAATAGGTTTGAAGACAGAACGATCAATTGTCCTGCAAAGGAAGGAGAGTTTCAAGATAACAAGAAAAAAAACATTATTTCTTCTCTATGGAGGACAATTAATGAGGGATGTACAAGAGCCATGTTTGAGGCGAAAGACACATGTTTGAGGTTCAACAAACCTGCACATACCTTGCTATGTTTCCAGCAGCCGCAACTATAGAGCTCTGTGACATGGTTGCCACACGACTCATTCCCTGCCCATCAGCACCGAGGTCATACACCTGAGAAACAGACAAATTGTTAATTATTTCAGAACCCTGACAATCACCACAGATTCAATCAATCATGTATGTATAACTGACATGCAATTCACTAATCCCCATACCTGCAGGACACCTTTCTCAGAGCGTGTGAATAGTGTGTTGCGGGAGTTATCAATAGCAATCTGCACAATGGGGTCTGTGGAGCACAAAGGCGACAAAAGGTTACAGTGAAGTTAAATCGAGGAACTCTTACACTCCAAATAGAAATGTGTCCCCCCTCCTTACCATCTTCAGAAAAGGAGAACTGGAGCACAGAGGGGACGAGAAAGGACAGAGAGCTTTTGGAGTGGTTGATTTTTCTGCAGCGCTGGCTCAGCCATCCTGCCTCAGCCTGGTAAGCTATCTCATAGAGGCAGCCGTCCTTTCCTGCCATAAAGATGCGCCCCAGGTCTGTGGAGGTGATGGATAAGATGTAGGTGTTGTCTGTGGGGATTGAGAAGAGGGGGTCTGGAAGCAGCTGCATCCCACCAGACATGCTGTCATTCAACCCTACAATAAAAGCAAGGGAGACACAAAGATGACCCAGATAAACCAGCACAGGTACATGAGGATATTAATAGCAGCAAACAAAACCTAGCAAGAATATGGAATATGACATCTCTCACAATTTATTTATTGTCGTCATATCTAACCCTGATGTCTATAAAAGTACCATATCAATTAAATACAGCATGTATCTTAACAGACTTAGTGAAACAGTTACAATAGGACAGGGTTTTGGTAAAACAGCTGTACTTATGCTGCACATTTGCCTAGCTTATGAATATCCGGCACTTGCTTGTACATATCAGACTATGTAAGTAACAACGTATTTAGCTTGTGCCTGTCAGCTGCTATGACTAGCGCGCCACTTGCAGTTTTAAAGCAGTTGGACGTATTTTACAGTACAGCAGAAAATTATCATATTATTACAGGACTCAGTACAAGGTTAAACTCTTAAAACTAAAATTTCAATTAATTTGAGAGAAGCTGGCATCACATGACGGAACAACTGAAATGCTCTGTCACTGTGATTAGGTGATAGGAGGGACTCACCAGCCTGGCTCTTGGGGAAGCTCAGCCCGAGGATCACTACATCCACAGAAGTGGCCAGTACTAAGAGGTAGTGAATGTGTGGCTGTAAAATCCCTAAGAAGAAAAACACAACATTACAATACAACATTACTCCGAAAAGAAAAAACTAAATAAATAAAGTTTAGGAGTTTAATTACACACACCTTGTTTTGGTTTTACAAGGCCCACCGCCAGAATGGTTTCAATAAGGCCATCAAAATAGGCCACATCTCCTCTGAACATATCAGAAAAAATAAATATCAAGTCTTAACTCCAGGTTTATGAAAAATGAATACTGAACGTTGTCAGTCTATAGGTTACGTGTACTCACCCATCTTCATAATTCCACATGAAGATGTCATTGTCAATAGTGAGCCAAGCTCGACAGATCTCAGGAAAAACTCCCATCATGCAGTTACATTGCATATCTGTAAAATGGTTAAGTTGAAACTCATAGCAATCAGCGTAACATTTTTACTACATGTCTAGGGGAAACCTCGGGATCCATCCCAATGCATTTTATTAGCTTAAATGACCAAAAGGATACGGCTGAACTGCTCCACCAGCTCCGGTGGCAGAGGGACTCGGCGGACTGCGCTGAGCTCCGGCAGATTTGGTACACTGAGTAAACCCGGCCCCTGGAGGGGGTAGTCCATGTCCGACACTCCAGAGAGGGACGGCATATCTATCAATACAATCAACAACAAGTCTGATTAGGCACCATCCCCAGACCAAATTATGTAGCCCAATCATAATTCACATCATGTATACATACAAATTCCTTCATAGCATAAAAAAAGTCAAAGGGACATATTTTACCACATTTTGTTTTCTACTAATTGAAATGTGTTTCCCTTGTATAGTATGGTATATAAATCTGGTCAACCATCGTCAATCTCCGCCTGCTTATGCCAATTATAAAATGTAAGACCCATTTTATTATAGTGTATTCTGCATTAAATATTGAAGAAGAGATATCTGCCAGCCTGTATTGGTTCCACGTCAACCCAAATTTCAAACCCTTTCAACTTTGTGCTCGAAAACATGTTCATTTAAGAGGGAAACAGCCACAAAAAGACATGACATAGGTGTAAACAACAGATACCTCAGTTCTGTATAAAAATCTGGTTGGTGTTTAGTCTTCCTCCTTTTACAGTTACAGACTGAAGAGCTCATATAATAAAGGTGTCTTATCATGAGCTGATGTGTAAAATGTATCAAAATATTTTGATATGGCTTGAAAATCACTGTTTTCTATAATATATGAACACATTTTGTCAGGAAATGACAACTTTTTTTATGCATTACACGATACAACAATAAAGGTCTCATTCCACAAATCTTTCACGGGTTGTTCTTCTTTATGTATAAACAACATTTAAAAAGCACCAGCAGTAACTACCTTTATCTGTATCAAAGCTTTGGTGTCATACTTTTAATCAACACTGTCCAACCTCCTACTGTCTCCTGCAATTCGTAGTTTGGCATGGAAGATCTAGTGTAAACAAAACAGCTAGTTTTCAGCTACTTGGCTTCCCTCTCTTCTGCCGCGTCCCTACACATGACTTACTGTGAGAGGGGACGCTGAGCAGTTCCGACAGGTCGGGAAAGCAGCGATCATCCTGCAGGTGTCTGTCTATTAACCGGGCAGAGTTTTCCAAGGCTTCGGCGAGTGCTGCTGCGGGGCTGCTGGGTCCAGAGCCGGACGGCATGGCTGCGCTAACCACCGCTAACTTATCTGCAGGGAAGAGCGTCAGCACAGTTAGGCGAGATGTCGTATAATGGAGAAACATAACGCCGACCTCACAACAAGAAGTTAAATGTTCCTGTGATACGGTGCTAGCTGGTGTTAGCAAGAACGCCGGTTAGTTAGCTGGCTGTTAGCATTACACATTAAACCCTTCCAATGTAACGTAGCATGCAAGCTAAAGGCTAGCTAAGTGCGAAACACAAGTGTTTTAAAGTGAACTCGTTGCTTTACCCGACTGAAACGACTCCGCGTGGTATTGAGTTATTTGGCTAAGAAGTTTTTTTTCACCAATTCAGCAGCAACATTTAAACAAACACATCCAACAACTAGCAGCCCGCCAACCTCATGCGCAGCGGCAGAGGTGAAAGGGTCTTTTCCGGTAGCTGGTGATCGTCTTCTTCGTCTCCTTAATTTTCCGCAGACCGGGGCCAAGTGCAGCGTTGTGCTGCCACCCACCGGTCGGTGTCATTTTAAACACGTCCTTATAGAATATATATCTTAATATAGTTATATATGCAACAAGTTGAAGTGAAGAGGTTTTATACATTAAATTAGAATTCCCACATGATAAAGAAATATCATTTGTTTTATTAATTAGTATATTTATTTTGGGGTGTTTGTTTCAGCAGCAGAGAAATATAATTCTCTTAACAAGACATGTGGTTCCTCCAACTTAAACAGTCTGTATTTGGGTTTTAATATATTTTTTTACCAAAAGGCAGAGTCTTAGATTGAAATTGTGCCCAGTACTTCAACCAGTAGTGTGAGACAATGTCCGAGAGATTTCAAAAAATAAAAATAAACAGCAGCTGATAATGTGCACATCCTCACAGTTATTATCACCCTGGCAAGAAGATCTTTTGTTATGGCAAACTGCTCAGTGAGCAGAGACTCAAGTAACAGGTGCATATAGACCTGTCTAAACCTTTATGATATGAGGCTTTAAAAAAGGTATAATACATACTCTGAAGTGAGGAAAGAAAGCACAAACAAGTAACAAAGATGTAAGAAAAATTTATTGCAGTATTTGTTCCACCAGAAGGAGCGGGGGATCACTTTTTTCTTGCTCTGTGTTCTGTAACATCAAAATCTATATTAAAAACAATATAACTTCCCCTGCATATAGGCACAGATACTGCACTGCTTTTAACATAAATAAATTATATCAAAGATACTCCATTACACAATGTGGGTAAACAAGAAAAAAAAAGAAGTTAAAAGTTGCTGGAGCTCTGGTCAAGTGAATAAATCCATCTGGTGCTAGTTTAAACTCCAAAAACACTTTATTAAGAACATCATCAATACACTAATTTCCAACATTCAGTTTCTTTTTTTACAGAATTATGTTCAGATATAAACATGTGTTTAGTTAAACTATGATACAGTGGGAGTAAAAATCAAACAACGAAGCTGCTGCACAACAGCGAAGGAACTCCCACACAATGTTTTCCAAAACATTTCCTTCTTGTGTTTTTCTTGAACTTAAACATGTCTGTATTCAAACAGACCAGTGTTCTCAATACTTTTTCCTCCACCAGGTCCGTCTTCTCTTCTGTAACTTATTGGATCCACATAGATTTGGGCTCTGAGGGATTTCTGCCTGAATAATTTCAGCCGACTAGCTCTTAGTCCCCTCCTTGGCGGCGTATAGCGCCCGCAACTTGTGTGCCACTTTGTTCGACAGCTTGTGTCCACTTGTCAAGGATATTTTCTTGTAAATAATGTCTGATTCCTTGATAGTGTCAACCCAAGGCACCTTTTTGCGACCGTCCCGTTTCTTTGCCACAACCCAGGGCCCAGTGTAAGATCCAGTCATCCAGTGTATGCTGTAGCCATTTTTGGTCTTCTGGATGACCCTGGCAATCTGTGGTCTGTCTTTGTATTTGGGACGGCAGATGGCAACGACGTCCATGGCCTCCACTGTCTCATTCATATGACCTGAATCCTCTGCGGAATCCCCACCTTTCCTTGGTTTCCGCTGTGGATAGAGTGTGTTAGACATGAAAATAACCTTTTCCTTACACAGGAAGGATCATACAGAAATCTTGTTGGAATAATATGTTAACAGTAGCTGCAGTACAAATGTAAGTTGATCTGTAAATGTAATGTAAATATAAATCAGTCTTTATCCTGTTATTCTATTATTTATATGCAATGATAAGTAGAAATTTAAAATCCATAAAACCATTAGTTATTTTTCTTTTTTCTTACATCGTCCCACACATTTCCACATTCCACACAAGTGACTTCTGTTGTGTACCTCAAATGTCAAATCGCTAATGCCCAGTATGTCTGCAGAACAAGTAAGTAAGTAAGTTAACATGTAAAAATTTCTTACTGCAGGGGGATCTTCATCCTCACTGTCCTCCTCATCGCTCTCGACAGCGTGATTATTGTGGTTGTGGTTTGAGGGTTTTGAGCCCCTCAGCAGTGAAGTAATGGCTTTGTTTCTGGCATTGGCACTTGCTTCACCCTCCTCATCCTCTTCATCACGATCCAAGTGGTCCATCAGTACCTTAAACTAAGAGATAAAAGCAGGCAGAACTTCAGCTGAATAGTTTCTTGATGTCGTTATTTATAGCCAATTGGAAAGTGCTTCGCTGCTAACTAAACTAAAATGACAAACAATTAGTGAAATTCTGAAACATACCGTATTCTGCACACTCTCGCTCACACACACACATTACACACTCCTGAGACTGAAATGACACATAAACTCAAAACATAGTGCTGAATGCTTACGTCCAAATACTGTTTCACAATATTCTTCTTGGTCTCGTAGCTGAGACCCAGGTTGGCTATATCGCTCTTCAGATAATCCAGTGTCTGACGAGGGTTGAAGTGCACCTTGGACTTCCTGTTCACAGCCTTGTCGTATACCTTGGCGGACTCCGTGGGTGAATATTTCTGGATTTTGCTGTAATGCAAACACAAAAGTCGAGTTAAGTCACGTAAACAAGTGCACTAATGAGGAAGAGTGATTAAAATATTTGTTGACTGGCATGTTTCATGTGGCCTACCTGTCTGAGAAGCCGTATAGATTCTTCAGATGTTGTTTGAGCATCAACAGCAGCAGAATACCTTGCGAAGCACTGGCAAAATCCAGAATAGGATTGGGGTTTTCAGGTAGACGGTCCATCAGTGCATCCTCATTATCAGAGTCAGAATCTGAAGCCACAGATTTCTTTTGCCTGTGTACCACCTCATGGTCCTCATCACTGCTGCTGGATTTGCTACTGCTTTCGTCATCATCATCATCATCATCGGAGCTGTATTTCCTCTGCTGGAGCTTCTTCTTCTTCTTCTTCTTTTTCTTCTTTGTCTTCATCTTCTTTTCCTGCTGCACGGGCTCTTTCCGTAAAGACTGCGCAGAGAACAAAGCCAATCAATCACAGACCACATATAAAGTGGGTATATGACACAAGCTTGGATTTTCATCTCAAGATAAACAAAACAACTAAGAGCAATAAGTCACATACAAAAGTAAAAAAAAAAAAAAAAAAGCTTCTTACCTCCTTGAAAGACTGGAGCAGGTTGCTACCAGAGACAGATAGAGTGATATCTATATGGTGCATGATGAAAAGAGGCTCATCCTGGGTCTGGTAAGGGAAGTAGGCCAAGTTGTCTGCTATGAACAACAGCATGTTCACCTCCGTTTTCTGCAAGGGACAAAGTGTAAAACGTCACTACTTAAAATAAACTGTTCATGACCTGCAGGGAAGTCAGCAATTCGATGGGTGGGCGGTTGGAGATACACGAACCTACAAACACAGAAGAGAATCACTCTAAAGAGGAGAGAGGAAAACTTACTGAACTGTCATCAAAAAGGTTGAGCAGGGAAATGAGGAAAGCCCGTCTGTGTTGTCGGTTCCCACGGACCAAAGTGTAGAGGTGAGAGCAGAGGGCAGAGTCCGCGTCATCGCGATGACAACCTCGAATCGCTGCGCCTCTGGATCCATTTATGGCCTCTTGCACCTGGTAGGACATCTTCAACCCTGCTACGGCCTTCATCTGTAAATTCACAGAGATATAACTCATAATGCATGTATGTAGATCAAATATAATGGTTTTAACGTCTTTGTGTAATGTATAGCATGCTTCTATGTAACACCACAAAAAAAAAATACACTCCACTGCCCATTGATACTGTTAATCAAAACATCATATTAGCACGTTGATTTACACCCACTGATCATGAACCAGAAAGACACTCACATGGATGAAGCCTGAATATTTCTTGTCAATCTCCACCAGCTGTTGATCGGCCTTGTTTTTCATGGTTGGCTCGGGGTCTGTTCCCATGGCAATCAAGTACGGCACACACTAAAAAACAATGTTGAGATAATGTTGTCATTATTACGTACTTGCTTATAAGAGGGACTGTATACGTTTAAAGTATTCTGGAGTGAGACTGTGAACATACCTGTACAGGATGGATGAGGCCCTGGCTGAGAGTCAGTGTAATGACACTCAGGCCAAAGTGCCGAACTGTGGACTGTGAGTGGAAGAAGGACTCCAGCACCTGCTTCAGGTAAATCTGCATTATAGAGCTGCTCATGCCTGATGAGATGTCCCCCATTTCTTTCAGATCCTCCTGCTTGGATTGATTCTTCCCTGAATTAAAAAAAAAAAAGATTCATTATTTACATGCTCAATGCAGATTAACACCACAGAGTGATAATCATTGGCATCTAAGTAACACTACTTAAGATGGATTCATTAAACTCACATTCGCGATCAGCTTCCTGCATCCGAGAGTCCTCCTCTTGCAGGTATGTCTGCAGGTTTTTTAGCACCTGGATCTTCCGGCTGACCAAACTGCTTTCATCTGACAGGATACTGTTATACAGAACCTTCACATCCTGCACAAACATGAGCTCTGGGTGCATGATGAACTGGAAACCTTGAGACAATGGAAATAATTTAAATTATTATTACTGAGGAAACTAGAGTCACAGACACAGGCAAATAAAGGGATCAGAAGAGCAATAAATTACAGTATAAATACAGCAATTACATCATAATGTTAGTCTGAGATCAGGTGCAACATACCTAAACCTATGATTGCCTTGATCTGGACCTCCTCATCTTCGTGAGTGGTGAAGTACAACAGAAGCTCCAACACTTTGTCCTTGATGACAATCTAAGAGACACGGAGGGGAGAGATAGCAAATCAGTCATCAAAACAGTTTCTACATTCTTTCGGTACACAGATTAAGCAGATTGCCGGTTGTTTACCTTGTTAGAACCTTTGAAATCCTCCTGGTCAAAATCAAAGTGTCGACAGAGAGCCCCCACAGTAAACAGAGAGCGCAGGAGAGTAGGTTTGTTGGCAGCCAGAGTGGAGCTGTTAGGGTCCTCTTGATGTTGTGTCTTCAGTTTTGCCAGGGCTCCTACAAAAATGCATTTGAAATAAGACAATGAGTATGAGCTTAAAATGTAACCTTTAATTTGAAGGTGAATGAGCAGGTTAATAATTACAAGCCTTTTCCATTTCCAGGTATATAAGAATTCTAGTATAAAAAATGTAACAGTACATAAATCTTACCATAGTAACGGTTGAAACAAGCCCAAACAAACTTGTGATTGTGTGTGACCTTGTTTACCACAGCACCAAGACAGCTCACACAGTGTTGTACAACCTGAGAAGCAGACACATCAAATGACATTATGCTTCAATCAATGCTCAAAGCAGCAGTTTCACACCCCAGTTGTTAATGTTCTTTGAGAGCTATCTGTGAAAGCTGTAAGCTGTAAATGACACTGACCGTCATGCCGTATTTGATGATGAGCTTCATCAGATCTTCTTCTATGGTTGTGAGGAAAGTCTCACTTGGGTGCTCCATCAAAGGCACGACCAGCTCCAAGATCTTGGCCACGTTACAGATCACCATGAAGTCATTCTGAGTCTGAAAGGTCAACACAGAGGCAACTTCATACTCCAAAGCTGAGCTGGAAAATAACTTTGTAAACGACTATGGGTCTATCCCAATATGCACACTTGGGATCATGCACGTTCAAGCTAGTTGGCAAGTGCAACCAACATGTGATGTGCACTTTTCCTAATACCATTTGAAGTTGTGCTCCCCACAATTCACCACGGTCTACAGCACCATACCGGTCATGTTGCTGGCAGTAATGCAGCTATAGGCTGGTTTTTGGACTGATATTAATATCAGCAGATATAATCAGCAGATATTATTAAGTTTCAGTTTATGACATGTTGGATTCAGGGTATATTCAACACAAAGTTGCACCTCGACAGGTGGTTATTGCATAACACTAATGTTCTCCCTGAAGGGACTGATAAGAATAATATCCCTCAGCTAACACTGTGAAGGTAAATATTTAATATCATATAATTTTATTTTGAAAAAGCTATTCAAAATAACATCATATTATGTCCCTTTCATGTACAGTAGATCTAAGTGCTTCTAGTTAACTCAGTTTAACTGCTTTAATAATGAGATTCTTCCTCAGTTCCTGAATGGGCATTTTTACTGCCATCTGGCTGTAGCTGTAATACTGTAAGGTTGATCCTACTTATTCATTCCAACAAAACATCTGAGCTCAGTTGTGCCATGTACAGTATTTATATTTGCATGAGTGACAGATTGTCCTCATTAATTAAGTGTGTCCCAGTCAGCTCTGTCTGACTCACAAATAGTGTGGGTATTGAGATGGACCCTTTGTTGAACACTTGTGTTTTCATTTGGCTGCCACTAGATGGTCCTATAGTGCAACATAAAAGTTAGTGTTTTCTGTATTTCTGCCCTTGGGGCATCAGTCTCAACAAGTAATTTCTCACACCTCCAGGCATGTGAAAACTAACAGATTAATATTGAAGAAAATGTTGCTGTATTTACATTGCACTTGGTGGTCAAGTAGGGCTGCATAGTCATGGCATGTTTGACCATTAACTGTGGTCTGATCTTGCTGAATAAGTAGAGAGTGGTGATGCATGCGACCAGACGACCTGAGCTGACCCCTTTATCCTCACAGTCTGAAACACAAACACAGAAAACATTGACACTTGTCACAGAACGGTAGTGTTTAACATAATACCAATGCAATAAGAATTTTGTAAGCAAACATACTATTAGACTTCTTTTTATTACCTGCGAGAGACTCCTCATAATTCAGTATGTGTTCCACCAGATTGTCCACCAGCTGTACACAGGCCTTCTTTGCAGGTTTGTATGAAGCTTGCTCCTCTGACTTCAGCAGCTAAACAGTTGCCATACAGAAGTTAGATAAGATGCTAGACAAATATGCACGCAGGAGCTATTTATAAAGACACACAAGCTGCTATTCAGAAATCAAAGCAGCTACACAAGTTAAACAACTCACATTTTGGAGAAGCTGCTCGAACCAGTCATAGCCTGAATCCTTACATGCCAACACCTGGAATACAATCATCATGAGTCTTGTGACAATGTCAAACGCTATAATGTTTCTTATTCTTATTCGAAGCCGAGATAGTACGTACCACATCTGTGATATTCAGGATCTTACGGGTCATGGCATCTTTGTCATGACTGGGTGTGGGGGTGAACCACAGTTTCTGGAATGTCTCATTCACCAGTTTCTGTATGAGAAAAGATGCTGAACGTATATAAACTGTTCATAAAAAAAATTAAAATTACTGCTTTAAATTAAATTGAAACACAAACCTTAATCCCCTCTTCATCGTTGACCCTTCGGATCATCTTGACACACATCTCAGTGATCTTGTGGAAGTCCGGCTGCTCCAGGCAAATATCCCTCAAGATCTTAATGACCCTCTTCCTTACACTAATACCTGTGTCCTGTGTAAAGACAAAACAGGTAGGACAGTTCAATACAGACTTAATATAAAGTGCCTTTTTTTGTCATTGATTGGTTGAATTGAAAGGGAAAGTATTCAGTGAAAATGTGAAAATCTGACTCAGCTTTACTGGCCAAGTATGTGTTCACGTACACGTACACATTTGATTATGGAATTTCATTGTTTTTTGTAGAAAATCGAAATATGTATGATGGACAAACGTCAAAGGGAAAGTAAAAGTAAAGTGATACAGTTGCAGTTCTTCTTTGATCTTAAGGTGGCAGTGTGGGAAAAAAGGTTTTTTTAACCTCAGTTGAACTTTTGCACTTTCAATTAACTTTTTGGTCAGAATTTTCTAAATTCAAGGGCTCATCTTCAGCCTGATAGACTTTCCTTTCCACAAACCCCCGAATAGGGCCCATAATGATATAACTTTACCACCAGAGAAAGAATTGTTACACTATGATATAGAACCTCACACTTAGGTGAAAGGTGACGATGGAAGCTTAAGAAATTACCAATATCCTTTCAACGAGCATGTCATAGTACTGCTCAATGAGCTGCGGTCGACTTAGCACAAAACGACCAAGGAGCTCCACAGCTGCCTCTCGCACACTGGTGGAGTTGTCCATGAGGCGACAATGAACTCCGCGTTGCATATCCAACTGAAAAACAAATGGGGGAGTTTGGTCAAGCACAGATAAACATTACTAAAGATTATGGCTGCTAGTTTGACTGTGGTGAACTAGCATAATTGACTGGCAATGCCACAACACTACACTAAAACTTAAAACATAATCTCCTGTTAGTATTTATAAGATAAAATAAAATAAATATATGTAAGAAAAAATCATGCTATCAATCCAGTAGCCTGAGAGGTGCATAACAGCCACTACAGGATGACTTACTACACCCTGGTTAAGAAACCCCTTAAGGGAAAAAAAGCAAACTTGCCATGTCAAGTCCTTGACTTGACTACAACTTTCATTTTGTTGTGCAACTGTGTGTTGTAGAATGACAAATGAATGAACCTTGAACCTTGAACTTACCCGTGCCAGAATACTTGGATCCACAGCTACTACTTCAGACAGACACTTCATGGCTTTAGTTCTGACTGCAATGGCGCTCTCACCCAGCACTCTCAGAATCTATACAAGAGAGACCGTAAGAGGAAAATGTATATGACAGCCAACACAATATAATCTCTCACTCAGATTGATTTTAAATAAATCATCTTACCTGTGATAAATAAATATCAAAGCTCTGTGCAAAGGGCCTCATAGAGGCCAGATATCTGACAATCAGACAGGAATCCTCATAGTCTATTGTGTTAGAGTTTAATCTGCAAGAAAAATACAGACAGTTTAACATCAGGATAGGTGAACAAGTCAAACAGTGTAGAAAACTACTATTGAAATCATCCAGAGTGAAGTGGTATCTACCTCAGGGAACTGAAATGTGATGGTGATGCCTTGATGACCTTGCGAAGGAATTTCTTTCGTGTTTCAGCCCTCTGCATTATCTCCCCAGTTGAGTCAACATCATTGGAATGATGTCGACCTTTCAAGTCCTCGTCGTTCTCATTTTGAGACTTCATCGCTTTCTCTGCTTCACTTGTAGTGTCCCTGAACCACTGTGCAATATAAAACTTCCTGGCAAACTATAGGAAGCAAATGCATACATGTGATGAAAAACATTTCAAGGCGTACTATAGAGTATAAAACCACTTTGACACAAAGGAACCCTGTTTAATCCATGTCTCTTTTAAGCTAAACAAACATATCCCTGTGTCAAGCCATTTGAGAGGATATTACTGCTTGCAAACACTGAGCATCTATGGATTAAGGAATAATAAACATGATCATAATGATTTCTGTGAATATACTGATGTCTGTATGAAAGTTAAACACTCACGACCAGAGATGGATCTGTCTCAATGTTTTCATCTAGGTAGTCAAGCAAGGCCTTCTGGAGTTGCTGAATTTCATCACTGCCTGGAGTCTGCCAGGAGATCAATAAGTCAGAAACATCTCAACAAAGCAGTTCAACGCTACAGTAAATTCACAATCGTTAAAATGATTCCATAAATATCTAGTGTACCTCTCTTAGGATGCGATCAATAGTCTTTTGGTCCATCTTGCTAGTGACAGCATCTTTGCGCAGGCGAGAAGCGACAGTGCCGAGGTAGTCCAGCGATGCCACCCTGAGTGCCATTTCTGTCTGCTTGTTACTGAACTGGTGCACCTGGAGCACAAGAAGTGGAGGAGAAATGTCATAACAAATACAAACATCAACAATACTGGACAAGCGTTGAGTGACAACTTTAAGGTGAATGACGCTACTCACCAACAGTCGGCCCAGTAAACTGAGCAGCAGTTCAGCTGCAGGCCACTCAGGCTTGTTGACCGTAGACAGCAGATCATGAACAAAGTTTTCAAACAGAGGCCTGTAGTCCTCTTCTCCCTGCTTACTGCCACACCTGAAACGTACAGAATACAATCTTTTATTATAACATAAGTTTGAACATGCAGCAAGTTAATATTACAGCCTGTGTCATAGCAGAAGCAGAAACAGTTTAATGACAGAGATAACAGAGCTATAGATTATGGCTTGCAGTTAAAGAGGAGTGTGTGAGATCAAGAATATACTCTTGTCTTGCGTAGCCGTGGGAACAATGACTTACTTCTTGAGAAACACAGATAGGAAGTTCTGAGCTGTCCTCATGGCAGTTTCAAAAGAGTTTGTGATGAAGACATCTTTATCGACCTAGATAAAATAAAGCGACTCAATATGTAAAACAATGTCTGAATCAAAACATTTTTCGGATAAATATGGTTTAAATATCAGTTAAATCTTCAGTAGTTACCTTCTTATTATGTTCGTCGTCTGCATCCCTCTCTGAAGGAAGGTGTACCACACACTGGATGAGCTGAAAAACCAGCGCTGTGACCATCTGGATATACAAGGGCTCTCCATCCGAATCACTGGTGTTTAGCCTGAGGGAGTATGAGATGTAAGTATCATTGGGGGGGTTCAATGATCAATTTCTTCATTTATGTAATTTCATTGAGGAAATAGTTACTTAGATTTAGTTACCTAAAATTCCTGAGGCTGCGTTTACTGGTAGGGAGTCTTGCCAAGGAAGTGAAGATCTCTTCAAGAATAAGCTGCCTGTGCTTCTCATAACGAGAGAACACCTAAGGAAGAGTAAAATGCAAAGCACTAAATCAAAACACAACAAACAGACGCTGTGCAGGAGCATGTCATGAAAAAAACAATTAAAGTTAACAGCTACGACAACACTAAAATTGCATGCCATGGAAGACTTACTGCTGTCACTAGTGTAATGGCACATAGCTGCAGCTCACTGACATTCTCCACGAAAAATGGTGTAATACCCAGGGTAGACACCTGAAAGTCGGGCACAAAAGCAATCAAGTATGTTAGAACTCAAGAGTCAAAGTTTAAATAGGGTCATGAATTTGAATGATGTTAGACCAGATTAAGAGCCTCACCTGGAGAATTGTGGTGTCAGTTAGCAGCTGGATCTCCAGGAGCTCTGAGATGTTGCTGACAATATCGCACACTTTGTTGTAGAGCATGACTACCACCTTCTGCTTGTGGGTGGAAGCCTTCGCTCTCTTGGACTTTGAAGTATGTATGCCCCCTTAGGTGAGGAAGATAAAGGGAAAATAAGAGTTGAATAAAAGATAAGTAACCCACTTCAGACACCAGCAGCAAAATACCACAGTTGCAGGTTATTTAATTTTTTTTTTTTTTTTTTATAAAATAGTGCTGCAAATATGTCAGACACTTGGTAGACATTTCTAGATTCAACTATAGGGTTTTAAATCAGAAAATACGACTAAAAGAATGTTCTATCATCAACTTTCATTTAAAAAAAGTGAAATAGCCCCTAACTTTAGCTATAAGCCCCATCTTTGTGAATTTAAGTTTAAGTATTAGCAACTGACAGAAGGAAACTGTACTGACCTCCATGGGGATCCACTCTGTAGACCGGGTCATACTGAGGGTACAAAGAGTTTTGCATATGGTACTTGGTGTACTGCAAAACCCTCTCAATCACATCCTCTATATAAACAGCCTTTGGCATGTGTGGAGATGTCATGATGTTGAGTGCAGTCAGACAGGCATCAGCGGACTTAGTCACCCGCTCCATGATAAGGTCACGCCACAGCCGCTCCTCCTCCATGGAATCATTACCCTACAAATGTCCAAAACAATGAGTTAAAAAACAAAATAAAGGCGAAAACTCACTGAAAAGCTCTAAAAGATAACTGGGAAAGAAAAGCATGATCACTTCCATAGCAAAAAAATAACATCAACTTACGTGGTTCATTAGTGTGGAAAGTTTGACGCTGTCCTGGATGTTCTTCTCCAGGATATTCAAAAATTTCACTAGTTTACTAGTTGGAAACTGTGGATCAAACAAATGATTGGTTACTTTCATCACGATGTGGCTGTAAATTGATGGTCTTTACAACAGCTAAATAACACCTGTGAACCTTAGTGTAGCCATGTGACAGTGCACCCTCCTCTTACCTTGTTAAATACGCCCATAGCTTTAATCTTAGCAGAATCACTGCCTAGCTCACTCAGCTGGTGCTTTATAAGCAAGAGCTCTTCAGGGATCTCGTCGTCATCTGTTTGTGGGCCCAAAGATATAATGTTGTCATGTTGTATTTTTCAACTCAATGCTTCAACAAATGTTAAGAACTTTGGAAACTTTGCAGTGCTTGATGTTTACCTGCAGCGGTGAGGTCCACATCCTCAAGGCTCTCAAGAATGTTGTCCACACTAGACGCGAATCTCTTAAATGTGGAGGAGTCCATCATTTCTGTTAAACAAGTGTAAACAACTTGTTTAATTAAAACATGTCGTTTTAAAATGCATTAATACTATTGAAAAAATTCTGAGTGGTGAAACAATACCCTCTGATGACAGCTTGGACTCGTACGCCATCCTTTTTTTCTGTTTCTCCTTTTTCTTCAATTTTCTGGCAACTGAACAAAACAATAACATTAGTCAAATCTTTGACAGCAACTAACCCTCAAGCACAGAATATTTAATAGAGAAAGACTTGGGTGTAGTAATCCAACTGTCCAGGGAATTGGCCTGGCTGATCATTGATTTCAAACAGACAGCCATCAAACAATCACAATTAACATTTTCTATGTGTATTGTCTAAGGTTATAATTGAGATACAAACATTTTGCCTTCTTAGAGATATATATCTAAATAAAAACATTCTCTACACTCTCTTTTTTTCTTTTGCTTATGCCCACTGGCAAGCCTATGCAAAGAAGCCTCACCATCACTCAGGCTTGGTGCTGGAGAGCCTTCACTTGAATCATTAGGGTTCCATTCCCGGTGATGGCTACCGGACCCCCGACCTCCGCCTCGACGGTGCTCTCCAGAACCTCTCCTCTCTTCATGCTTCCATGTCTTGTCGTGATCCTTCTTGCACCTTTTCCTTGTAGCTGTAACAATAACAGAGAGAGGATATGTCAGAAATATTGACTTTGAATTTTGGGCACCATCTTTTTAAAAAATGATAATACATTTAATAAAATGCAATAACCATAATATAAAACATTTGCAGGTAGATCTTTTTTCATCTTAAGGATTACTGCATGCTAAAACAATATTCTGTCAATGGAGACCATAACACTTTTGACCAACTTTGTAGCACTTTGATGTACAAAAAAAAAAGTTTTTTTAGGTTTAATACTGACACTCAGAGTCACCGCCTTCATCTCCACTTGAGTCCACCTCGGCGTACTTGGAGCTCTTACTGATCACACTGTGCTTTCGCTTTTTTGTCCCCTCCATAAGTGACATCTCTGTAAGCACAAGAGGTGAGTGAGTTTACATGACAGAAAAATCTACACTTAATCCACGGGTATTTATTTGGATTAATTACTTATTTATGAATTATTCCTGAGACAATAGTTTAAAGTAAATAAATACATCCACAAACACTTCTGAGTAAATATTTAATAAACAAAGTAAATCATACCTCTGTCTGGTTTGTCAACGTAGGACGACTTCCTGGATTTGGAGCTGTGTCCATCCCTACTTTCCCTCATGATCCTTTTAACCTCATCAACACTGAGTTTCTGAAGCACAACAACAGGCTTAGCTCCTTTGTTTAAGTTCTCTATCAGCGAAACTCTCTCCAGTCTGACAAGGGGTTCACTCCAGGGCACTTTCGAATTACTTAGTTGTTTAGGCTCTTTATCTTTCCCATCCCGTTTCAATTTAGGAATCACAAAGTTCTTCAGACTTCCTGACTTGCCACCTAGCAGGTATGACGGGAACTCACTAGGTTTTGTCTCAAAAGATTGCTGTTTGTTTCTAGCTTGGCAGCTAATGCTGCCATCCCCACTTCTCTTCTCTTCCTTATTTTGGGCGTTTTGAAGGCTGGAATTCTCTGTCCTCTGTCGACCATTGAGGTCAGCGGATTTTCTGTTTCCATCTTGCTTCACTCTAGGGCTGTCAGATTTAATATGCTGGTCAGGAGAGATTCTGTTGCAGTTTTCCCTTGACATTTTGTGTTTCCTTTCCCTTTCCCTGTCTCTGTCCCTGTCTTTGTCTTTGTCTCTGTCTCTGTCCCTGTCTTTGTCCCTGTCTTTGTCTTTCTCTTTGTCTCTGTCCCTTTCTCTGTCTCTGTTTTTTTCTTTGTCCCTGTCTCTATCTCTGTCTCTATCTCTGTCTCTATCCCTGTCTCTATCTTTTTCTCCATCTCTGACCTTCTCCTTATTTCTATCCCTGACTTTTTCCTCTCCATGTCTAGAGTTATGCTCTGCCTTGCTCATGGTTTTTGGAGTCTTAGGCTGGCTGACAAGGGGTCGATGACTGTTCTGGTTCTTTTCCTCTTTGTGGCGTGAGTCTGAATGCTTTTCCTGTTTCTGTCGTGGTGTGTCTGTCTGTCTGTCATCTGAGTGTCCTTTGCTGCTCTCAGTTTTGCCATCATGTCTGTGTTTGGATTCACGCCGCCGTTCCTGCTTCTGTTTAGGGGTTTCTAGTTGCCCATCTGAGCCAGACTTCCTGGGGTTGTCTGCATGCTGTTTGGTGATCCCAGGTCTGTTTTCAACAACCTTATCTACTTTTACATCAGTCTTTGACTTTATGCGCCGTAGGTGGTCCTCACACAACTGCTTTGCTTCCAAGACCACTACAGGCTGTCCTATGAGTCTTCCAGCTTGCTGCAGATCAATACTGACCATCAAAGCAGGCCGACTGGCACCATTACTTGCAGCATTCGTCTTCTTGGGTGTCAGCTTGCTGTCAGAGTTGCCTCCTTGTACAGTAGGCCCGTCACTTGACTCAGCTCCGGGTTCCTGAGGATACGAGTCTTGCTTCCGTTTCTTTAGTGGCTTATCTGCAATAAAGAAATAGAGCTTAGATCTTTTACAAAAAACAAAATAACATCTGTCATGAAATTAATGAAAGAATGCCCTGGGCACACAATACCTTTATCCTGGACTTCCTTAGACCACCGTTCTCTGTCGCTGGCTGACTCACGTTCTATTCTCTCGATCTCTGCAAGCGTGTCTATCTCAGAATCATCAAAGCCAACCCCGCTGATGGCTCCAGAGTCCCTGGTACCAGGCCGAGCAGAAACCTGCTGGCAGTTTGCCTGCTCCTCAGAAGCAAACTTGTGTGACAAGTCCTGGGCAGTCCTTGACAACTGATTATTATTATTCATCATATCAGTTTCCTGGTCTGAGTTGATATGTGCCCTAGGAGGATGTTCTTCAGGTTCATCCATGTCTGAACTCTTGACACGGGACAGTTTTAAAGTCAGCCTAGCAGAGTCTTTTGTTGGAGAACTAACAATGCCATACAAGGCATTTTTTTCCATTTCTTCATTTTCTTCCTTACTCCTTTCTTTCTGCTTCTTTTTGCGGTCGGCAGAGGTGAGGAGCAGCTCAGGTGCTACACCTGGTGGCACATGGGGTGGAGGTGAGTGCATGATGAGAGGAGTCCTGGATGCTGCTTAAAGACAAATACATTCAAGGAAAGGTGAACACAAGAGAATATGTCTTGGCATAGAATGAATCATACAATTGTGCTTTATTTTTGATCAACAAAATTAATTGACTTGTTGCTAAGGCAGCATACTTTTTGCAGTCTCTTCACTCCCAGCAGGGGAACACACAGACTCTGGTGATTTAACTGGAAACGCGGCAGCCCTCATGGAGGGGTCATTCTGCTGTTGGAACAAAAGACATTTATCAGCACTTTCAACAGTCAGTATCTGCTGAGTTCCAGTTCAGGATATCTTGATTTTCTGCATTACCTCATTTCCCAGTCTGTGAGCCATGTTCATGTAGTCTTTGTCTGAGCCTAGTCTCACATTATGATTAGATGGATTATTTGATAGCTGCCCAGAGACCTTGTTGTCATGGATATTTCTCACACCACCAGCAACTAAAACAGAGAGAGAAATCATATATCCAATTCAATTATTTGCAATATCTCATATGTCCTGTTAAGACAGATCAATTGTTACGGTCAGCTGTAGTTTTACCATGTTACACTAAGAGAGTGTCAACTTATAAACCTACTCCTCGCCACATATGTGTAAAAAAGCAAGCGATGTGATTCCTTAATATCAAATGTTTGCTTTTTGCTGGTCCTGGCAGAGGTGTGCAGGCAGCTAATGTCACATTTTTCCTGATTTAAAATTACACTCACCTTGCTGAGTCTGTTGGTGTTGAGAATAACTGGGTGGATTGTACTGCATGTAGTCTGTAGGACTCTGAGGAGTATAGGGACTAGGTATAGGGCTGTTCTGCTGGGGTACGAACCGAGTATCCGATCCAGACTGCGGGGATGTAAAGCATCTGTGAAGGAGGGAGAAGTAGTCTTAGTAGAAGTACAGATACTTCTGTTCATTATCTGAAAGTATGCTGGCACTGCCTTACCCGGAGGGGCTTTGAGTTACAGTGGTTTGCTGATAGTTTGATCCTGGACTCCCATGCACCTGATTCTGAGATATTTTATACTGTTGCATCATTGGCTGCTGCATTACACCTAAGAGATAAGGATTTAAAAAAACAAAACAATTAACATTATATAAACTCCAGTGTACCAAGGGAAAAGAAACTTATACTAATATAGGGTTTCATAACTGAACAATGAAAAAATATTCAAAGGTGAAAGTGAAATAGAATAACATGGCTAGTGTATCAACAGTTTCCAGCTAACCTAAACACCATCTACTCAATAGCAATGCTGGAAACTACTAACAAGCTACAATGTTAGAAATCCTTTTTTTCCCATTAACAGTGTGTCAGAAAGGTCACTTTATGGTCTTTTTTAAGGTTGTAATTAGTGGTGTTGTTGTACTGGATTGCATTATATTCCGAGGTGTTTCTACTGTTGATTCATGTACTGTAAACTGCAAATGGGGGTGGAAGAAACATCATTAACATTAGCTTTCAATATAATGCCGTCCAATACAACACCACTACATGCCGCCACAAAAATGAAACGACTCAACATCAGTGCCAACAAAAAGTGAATAAGATAGGAATTATTGCACGGTTACTGTAATTGTTTGTCTTATCTATGAACTGGTAATTTATTTGTAAAAAGTACTCCGAATTTCAGTCATATATACACCGTAACAATATATATATTTGGAAATAAAGTGGTATGATTCCAAGATTTGACATCATGGGATGTCCGATCTTGAATACTTAATAATCATCCTGAAAATAAAATGTATCACAACAAAAACAATTCGGAGTTCAGAGTGTTGAAGGAGGAGGTTATAGCTGCAGGAGAATGGTGAGGGTTTACCAAGGTGCAATGTTGTGTGCAGTACATCCTGTCTGGTGACAAGTGCATATTGGGCACATCTTCGGAGAAGCATTTCACCGGATCAGAAGCACTAAGTTCCTACTGCTGGCTAAAATGTCACAAATAATGATAACAGCTACACGTTTCATTGAGTGCTTCAACAGACTCATGCATCAGTGTTAGTAAAAGATCCTCGATCATATATTTTCAGGGGATGAATGTGTGGTCACTACCACAATTGCTTGCGGTTTATTTTTCTGACTAATGTTCATCTTGCAGTTGCCAGCACCTCTAGTTCACGCAGTACACACTGTGTGCGAAGCTTTTCTCTCTTTTTTCCTTCTTTGGCATAAATAATGATTCAGTATTTAAGTGTGTATGCATACAGTACACTTACAATTACATGTAATTGCAGGCTAGTGCAGCTGCTCATAAAACTAGAAGGCTTTTACTGAACAAAGGTTAAAAGACAAATATAGAACTGTTTATGACAATTAGCGATATTGATGATACTAAACACAAACACAGTTAAGCCTTTAAGAAACGTGTATGGGATTACTGATAAATATCTTTTAAAATATTTTTATGTTGTAAACTATCAGGTGTACTATAAACAGGTGAAAATGTAAGTTCAATTCAGTTCAAGCATTACTTAAAAATTCTAATGTAAAAGTTATGTAACAAGCGTTTACCATACAAGGTAGAACTGTACAAGCAGCTTTATACCCACCCATGAGGATTTTAAAAAAGACTAAGAGATTGACAGAAGATTTAATCGCTGTGTGTTCACTGAAGACACAAATTTAAAGGGTAGGTTCACCCAAAATGACTAAAAAACTGGAAGCAGGTACTGGTATAACACTAGCCTCTGCAAAAACTCATTTTAGATGCTGTATATTGTTAGCTAGCAAGTTAGTCACTAATGCGCACACCTGGCAACCTCACTCCGAAGACAGAACTTTTGAAATTTCACAGTTCCTGGACCCAGTTGTTGTAGATTAAGAAATAACTAACATACTTAAGTAAACTACTAAATTTTTTTTACAGTTTACAGAGCTAGTCTAATTGTTTTTAACAATTAATAAGCTAGACTACATACGTACAGACTACTCATTATCTGTATTTACTATAGTGTGAGCAGTGCTCCTTACCTCTTGTGATAAAATAAAAACAACTGCCGCTGCTGGCCAATTAGGCCTACACCTACATTCACAGATAAACTGTCACCTAACATTACAGCCAGACAAAACGTCAGTCAAAGTGATGCCAAAGAGTAAACAACACAACTAGTGAGGTTGCTAGTGGTTCCCAAACTTTTTTTGTCATGTCTGTGTTTGGAAGACAAGAAAATCCCCTTTGACTTGTTAAAGCAGACAAAAGTACAGGTGGATTCCATAACAATAATGATCTCTTAGTATCAATAATTACTGCAGTGCGATAATGCAGTAATAATGGTATTACTTGTGGTTGACAGGTCGAAAGCTCTGCTGTGTAAAAGGTCTATTCAACTTAAGATTTCACTGTACATTCCTCTCACAATGGCCTTCAGTTTGGGAACAACTAGTGTAGTGAAAGTAGTGCATCTGACCAAGGAAATGCTCAGGTGACTAATTAGTTACAATGGAAACCAAGAATACAAGCAGTGAGAGAGCATGCACTGAGCTCAACTGCAGAGTCAACAGCTCAATGTCTCCTCCTTACCACCCCGACCTTTGTACTGGGTTGGCGTACTTTTGTCCCTGAAGATTTTGGGGTCCCTGGACAGCAGAGTTTGTAGAAGCATTGGCATGTCACCCTCGGGTTCATCATTCCCCAAGTTGTCCTTCAACTCTCTGGAAAGCAAACAAAAGTATAGTCCACAGTCATCTTGCAGGCAATAGCTGCCCACTGACATAAGTGCAGTTCTGCATTAACCTCATGATTCTGAAAACCCCTGAGTATGAGCTGACCGATCTGGTAAAGCACTGACTGCAATGTGATGACTGAAACTGAAACAGCAACACCTGACTTCATTGTCTAAGTTAACAGTGAAACAACTCTTTGTAGTCCATATCTACTAACACTGCTGACAACAAAATCAATTCAACAATGATTTATTTTCTCCCAATTCAAAACTAATTTTAGAGTTAGCACACCTTTACTGACCTATTGTAGCAGCTACTGGCAAGCTTTCCTCTCTTAAACTTTAATTCTCTTTTAAACTTTCAGTGATGTGTGAAATAATGGGTGAGTAGTACTTACATGTGTTCAGTGGAGACCTGGTTAAGGCTTTGTGCCAGTTGAGTCACCAGATTCTCATCGCGACACACCAGCAGGCTGCTGACCTCTTCGGAGATCCTTCCATTGTAGAGCAGACTCTTAGCAGTGGTGGCGGGGAGAGGAGAAGGCAAGGGTAGCTGGTTCAACACTGAAAGGTTGATGGAAAGACAAGTTAGGTTGAGTGGAAAATGAAAGGAAGCAGGATAGAAAATAAAACTTTTGGGAAAAGATTAGTATGTTAAGATATGTGTATGTCAGGAGAAAAGTTTGAAAACATGCAACTGACCCATTCTATGCACTAGTAATGCCATACAATGTACGCTTATGTTAACTTAAGCTTGATATATTTTACACACAACATTTCTAATCAGAATAAACATTCTGAAGGCCTCGGAATAGAATATAAGATATATTGTAATCAATCAGTCTTTTTTAAACGCACTTTAACATATGGTAAAAAAGGTGAAGAAAGATCAAGTTACCTATTTATTAGGTATACAACTTTTCAAATCTAATGCAATAGTTTTGCAACAAATGATATCTTTGTGAAATACACAATGTTACATTTACATTGTTTTAACAGTTATTCAATTTCTTCTAAACTGGTTTGGGGTCACTGAGCTTACAACTTCCCATTTTCAAAAATACAAGCCACTTCACCTCTGTCTGCCCTGAAATCACCAGCAATAAGAAACATTACACACACCCGTTTTTAGTTTCTGGTGACTACACAGCCAGTCAATTTCGGCCTGCTTGGCAGATAAGTATTCCTTAGCTTTGCCACATTTTGGTTTGAATGTTACTTGAATTGTTAGTGTTTAGGCTGTGTGAACAGCATTAGAGAAATTATGTTTCACTTACAGTCTGTCAGGCTAGCAATTCCAGCAAGAGTAGTGATGGGAACATGAGGCATATCACCATTCATGCTGAAGATGAGGTCAAGAGGTCGTGTCAATGCACAGGCTGCTCAATATCACCAATCTCTTCCTATTCCTCACATCTCCAAAATGCTGCAGAGACAAAAAAAAAAATAGAAATAGTGGCAACAGACAGTCTTACAGAACGTTCACTGTCAACAAGGTTGGATGCCATCACATGCAGCACTGATCCTATTAGGATTTCACGTATTAATAAATAGCCAAGGGTTTTCCATATGACTACAGTGTGCTTCCTCTGGGATGAGGATTTAAAAATTGTGTCAGCTCATGAGTGTGCATTATTACACTGCCAACATAACTGCACCTCTGACGTAGACGTTTATACCGGCCTTGTAGCAAGCCTGTGCATGCCATTATAAGTTATTGATTTATATCAGCTTCTGGTGTCCGGACCATCTTGCTTCCTGGTCCTGTTCTTCCTCAATAACCTACGCACCTTCAGTCCGTGCACATTTGTAGGCTATGATATTTCAACTTGTTCAGGTCGAGCATGCAACTGCTGCAGAAAACATTGAGGCATTTAACAATTTTAGTTCTCATGTGAATGCAGTACGTCGTGCATTGCAAGTAGATCTGGGAGGTGACAAATCTTCCTATCATGGAATTAATGATAAAAAGTTACGAGTACGTCTTTCTCTCTGTGTGTGTGTGTGTGTGTGTGTGTGTGTGTGTCTCTGTACATATGTAACCTAGAATGTCACTTTGTCTTGAGTTTGTAATATAAATTCCCGCAGCTGAAAGCTACCAAACATAACCCAACGACAACACAGAGAGCCTTGCCGTCAGTGAAGCTAGCATTATATCTCAAATTCTTTCTTTTGTTAGTGTCAGTTAACGCTAAGGTTTCCGGGGCTGCCTAAACAGCGACATTAGCTCATGTTAACACCACATATGACTGTATTATTACCCACTTATTATTATCTTGGCTTTGTAGACACTTGGTAAGAGAATGAGCCGCATATCGACGTCTGTGAAAGTGACTTAAAAAAAATCAACTCGGGGTTAGCCGGCTAGCAACAAACTGGAGATGTAGCTAGCTAACGTATGCTAACTGGCAAGGTATATCTGTAACTTGCCTAAGCTAGCATCACCGGGAGTGCATCAAGCCCGGTTAGCCGTGGATAGCCTACGCTGTGTCGCTCCTTTTTTTTATAACACAGGTCGTGTACGGGTTTAGATTCCCACCTCACACTTACTATGGCCTTCGTCGACGCATCTCTAGCTCACAAAGTGGACCTCGGACTTGCCTAAGGAAGCGTAACCCCGACCCGACGCCTGGGAGGCAGGGGTACAAAGCAAAGACCCCATCACAAATCAGAATTATCCCCCTTTGGCTGATCCCGTTAACGGCTCCCCAACGGCCGCCTGGTGTGTCTGACAACGCGGAAACACTCAGGAGGCGAAACGATTCATCTGAAAAGAGGTTGTTATTGTTGAATGTGGCTTATTTACCTCTGGATGTGATGAGAAAGAGAAGTGGTTCTGGTGGAGGAGGAGGAGGAGGAGGAGGGAGCAGGAGGAGGAGGAGGAGGAGGAGGGGGAGGAGGGGGAGGAGCAGGAGTAGGATGGCAGCTGGAGCTGGAGAAAGAGTCTCTAGCTCCCTCTCCGTCCCACCGTTCAAACAGCTCCTCTCCGAGTAAATAGCAAACACAACGGCAGTGGTTCCCGTTGGGAGGACTGGGGGGGTTTCTTCTTTCTCACGGACATATCTGCTGGGAGAGGGGAAAGAGCATCCCCCCCCCTTTAAAACCGGTCGGACGACGATTTTATCAGTCGCTGGAGATTATGTTTGCAGGTGCCGGGTTATTTCCTTGATATTAAAACAATCAAGGGACAGAGGGGAAAAAAACGAGGGGGATCCACAGTGTATACCCCCCTTACTCTCTCTCTCTCTCTCTTTCTCTCTCTCTTTCAAAATGCCGACCGGAAGAACCGGGAAAAGGAATAACTCCCTCAACCGGCGGGGAGCTAACTATGTGAATGTTATTACGCCGGTAATTTTTTTTATATATATATAATGATGTTTATACATTGAAATAATAAAATCCAGTGCTAATAAAAGATTCTCACTTGTTTTCATTGTATCTTGTATTTTTCTATTTTATGTTGCTATTTAATGTGTATTTCTTTTTTCCCCTTATCTGCTGTGTGGATTTCAATAAAGTCTATTTTATCTTATCTTTAGGATTTACATCATATGGATCTGTGATGTTTTTAGATCTGGAGCTTTAAGGATTTACTCTCCCCCACATTATGCTGCATTTCCTTCACAAACACGTAAATTATATGTTTTATCTTTACTTAACCGATTACTTTTTAAAGTCTTGTCTATTCAACTGAGCGTGGGGGGGGTATGTATGGGTTTGTCATCACAACAAACACATGAACAATCAGCCAATCAGCTGACAGCTTCCCGAAACAAACTGACCCAGCATTACTCAAAGCTGCAAACGTCTCCTCGTCTTAAGTTTTTTCTCTTCATGCTCCAAACTATTCAGAAGTGTTGAGGCCAGTTGAAAACATAAAGTAATTCATATTATCCAACATGCATTCGGCTTGAGACGCGTCGCTCAGTTTCATAAACAGGTTTTGGTCTCCCCCTTGTGGAGAGAAGTTAAATGGTTTTGCAGACTAAAATAAACTTTTGGCCGTCTCTTGTGTGTTTCCCTATCTTCCAGTCTGGGTGTGTCATTGTCCAGATTAGCTTTTTTTTAGGCTGACATTTTCATTTTGATCATTTGAGGTAAATATCTGTGTAACACAACAGATCAGGCCCGGATGAAAACAAACAAGAACCATTTTATATAACTGAGAATAAGCCACTGTAAGAAAATATACTCATATTCTTTACATTTATTGTGATGAAGACTATCATCAAAGATCAATGGTGTGATTTATTTATATATCATTTTATATTTTATTTAAATGATGAGTGTGGGGCCACTTGAATTCTGTCTAAGACTAAAAATAATGCCAATAATGCAATAAATGTCATCTGGGTATCCCTTCTGTCACTGAAATGAGGTGTTAAACTTAATTATTTTGTGTCATTCACAAGTTAAAAACACATTTGCCAAACTTTTTACTTCACAGCAAGCTTCAATGGACGCCACCAAACTGAAACCTATATGTATGGTGTGTAGTTTGTTAACTGGTGATACCATACAAGCATACTTTTGTGTTTTTCTATTTTCAAAACAGCTTTATAAAGTGTGTTCACATTGCAGCAGATGGACGACAAAAGCCCCTCATGAGTACATTGAACACACTTTTAACAGCCATGAAAAGCCATGTTCCTGAGAGGCTTTGCTCTTATTTTCCAAGGGTGGTGACTGTGGTTAAATGTGACACAGAAATGTTCATTTTGTTGAATCATTAACTTCTGGTTTCACATATAAAAATAGCACAAATTTTCCCTGTTATAATATGACAGTAGACTCAAGGCTTGGCAGTAGGATGAGGCAATGATCAGAATCATGTAAAGCAATCATTTTATACAATGTACCTTCTAAACGTATTCATTATTTGTCTCAAAGTAAAATATTATAAAGATGGTAAGTCTGAGTGGTTCTTCACACTAGGGTTATATGTACATCATTATTTTCTAGCAGAACAAAGTGATTTATCACTTTGTGGTGTGTTTCACCCCTTTATTTTTGGGAAGTGTTTTTTTTTTTTAAGAACTATTTCTGATTCTGATTCTGATTGTTTGCAGACAAAAGGTAATAGACTATAGAAGAATCCCACAATCCATGATTTTGGACTTTTTCTCAGTCTTTCAGAAAAGAAAAACTCAAATATTGGTGGGCCTTTAGCTTTTTTACCTGTGGCAGTACTTGATAAGGATAGTATTCAGATTTATGGTATTTTATGATACAACTTTAATGTTTCCAAAGCACAAATAATATGCTATTGAATGAGGCGTTAACTTTATTTCCCCCTATATTTATTATTAATGTGCTGAAGGTGTTAGCAGGCCTATAAAACTACTGTACTGGATTAGGATATTTGTGACAAACAAGACCCCCCTCCCACACACACACACACACACACACACATTTTCATATGAAAAGCTAGCAGCTGACGCCTGTAGTTTCACGAGTGGATAATAATGTTGCGTTCAGGACCGCGGGGTTTCACGGTAATTACTCTGCTTCAATGGGTTTAACCATGAGCCTCTAACCCGTGACGGTCATGAGGGTTTTCTGCCCCTCTCTGCTCTCCAGCACACTGAGCAGTGAAATAACAGAGCTCCGAGGAGCCAGTCTTTTTGAGAAGGCATCCCAACCAGAGGAACTGTTCCCTGCAATCTAATTATCCAATTTGGTAAGATGATGGTTTGTTTATCTTATTAATTATTTCTAGCAGAGGTAGCCATGTATCATAGGCATGCTGTAGAATATGTTGCACTGTGCAAAGAGTAGCTCATTGTAATTGATTAACATTACCAGATGGATGGATTTCAAATAGCCAGTTCACCTGATCAGAAAGGACAAATAGGTGCTGTAGACTGCCTGTTGATACTTTACTGCTACTTAAACAGGTGATGCTGTCACCTATCAGGATATCAATGGCACAAGAGCAGATCTACTAATCGATAAGATTATGTTCCGATTGGTTTACCGTCTGTACAACTTGTTGATTTGCAATCTTTGTACTTAAACTGCAGATTTTACATCTTGAATGAACCTACGACTAATATTAAACATGGTTGTGCATTTTTCTTATTAGCTAACATAAATATTACATTTTAAAGCACTGTTCAGTTACAGGATTGGTGTGTCAGCACTGGGCGAGTGAGCATCAGTCAATGCCAGGTGCGAGAGAGAGAGAGAGAGAGAGAGAGAGAGAAAGAGAGGATGAAAACGCAGCAGGGCACTATAAGCTCTGAGCAGTGAGGGCACTGATCCATTAAATGGCCAATACAATTTTATTTTAATGAACAGAATGAATTTAACTTTATCGGAATGCGCAAATGGTTCAAATCCCAGCAGCTTGTAACTGTTTCGTGCCACTAAAAAGCGTCAACAGTGGTCTATCTGAACAAAATGTTAACCAAATGTTCCTGTTGAAGCGTTGAAGAGCAGTGGGGTGGAGAAAGCAGTCAAAAATAATCAATTTCCAGTAAGAATAGCTTAAGTTTTTACATGAAACCCTTTAATGTTGTGGGGAAAAAATGTAAATATGATACATTTTCATAATATTTCAACTTTCTTTATCTTTTATTTATCTTAATGAGTTATGAGGAACTACATAATTCTAAAGGGACAACAAATCAGTGTAACAGTGCACAGCTTCATGGTGGTTAAGTGTGTCAACACTGACTATGTGCTGCCTTTGGTTGCTGATAACTATGCATCTCCATCCATGGTGTGGGGATAATGTTCTTGACAAAGGCACAGTTAAGACTGGTTTGAAATCTGACATGATTGTCTAGTTTTAATTATTATCCAGGCCATTATCTACTTTTTTTAGCCTATAAAATAAAAAATGTTGTACATTGCTCAGTTTATGAAGTGGTTTTCTGTTGACTTTCAGCTGGATGCTGTGTAATCATACAGACGGGATGCCTCGTGGAGACTTCAACATTTATTTTGCCAACAGCAGACGAGGATATGTCAGAGCTGAGGAGTATGTGTGTCTATTTTATTTTGAAATCAGGGATCAGCACTTTGGTTAAAGCAGCTTTTTGCACTGTGATATGAATACTGTCGCCATATTATGGTGAATACTATAAAACAGATATAGCAGAGTAATAGATTAAGCCTTAAATATGTCTCTTTGTGAATTGTGTTGTGATCTACAGGGCAGTGGGTATAGTTCTGCTGGTGGTCATCCTGGCAGCTCTTCTCATCATGGGATGCTGGTACTTCAAGAAGAGGAGTGGCTACAAAATAATCAGGGTGAGAGCATCATACTTCCTTTAATGAAGTATTCACATTTCATACTTAGAGTAAGGGTTTATCTCTTTTTTTTCCTGACTAATAAAAGCAAGGAAGGAAAAGCAAAGAAAAATTCCAAAGCTTAATTTGACGAGTCAATCAATTGATGTAATGTTACATATTTGTGTGCAAATGAAAATTTGTGTCCTAATCTGATTTACAACATCTTTCAAAGATCTATGTTCCTCTTTGTTTATCTCTTGTTTCTGCTTCTGTTTTTTTCCACAATTTATCACTTAATTCTTGCTGTTTTCCCACTATTCCTAATACATCTTTCACTCCTACAGAACCCTAGATCGGGGTCAGCCGGTTTCACGGGAGGCCAGTACTCAGAGGCGGGACCTTCATCAGAAAATAAGATGGCTCTAACTGACTTTGGCAGCTTCCGACCTGCGGTGAGGGACAGGCAGTTACCCCATGACTGACTTTACTGACCTTCTATCGTATCTCCCGGTCCCTAAATCAATTATTTGTCAGCAAAAAGATTGATACCATAAAAATTCAACAGCTCGACGCAGCTGGTCTATTTAAAAAATACATCACCAATCAACAGTTAACTAGAGGGCAGACTTAAACTCTGGACAAGAAGTCCATGACAGAGGGTGCTTGTTTAGTACAAAGCCTCAGGGTTCTGAACACAGTGTTGAACACGTGAACCTGATGCAATGGATGCCTGAAGGAGAGATTATGGTGTCACCAGACTAGGGGTTGGTTTAAATTTTTAAAATCATTCCCAAGGGAGGTATGTTTATCCATGTGTGGGAAAATCAAGGGAGGAGGCTCAGATCAGCACCCTCTCATGAAATGAAGTTACAAAAGTACACTTTCTTTGAACAATTCCCATTATTTTTTATGGCACCATTTACCAGAATTCTAACTGTTGAGTCACCAAAACCAAGATTGTTTAAACCCACCACGCATGCCTAGATTTTCCAGATATGATGCTGAATTCCATGCACGTAAAATTGAGCTTCTGTATATAATGATATAGCTGTAAAAATAGATGTTTGAATATTTAATCCTGTATAATAATAGAGGTTGAGTGACAAAATAATTACCAGTGTGGGAAAATGTTCAGCCGTTTCATTTGTATGTGTTTACTCTTTCACTCTTCTCCAGGTTCCTAATGCTCCTCCAGCCTATGAAAAGATATCCTCAGGGCCACTGCCCCCTCCCTATTCCCCCTAAAGGACTTCCATAGAACATGGACGGATGTCTGAAAAAGGAAGGAAAATACCGAAAAACAAACGCTTTACTTCATCTGTTGTTTTATGATATATAATCTGATGTATGTCAATATGCTTTGTAGCTAAATATACCAACAGGTCCAAGTATTGTATCCCTCACTTTGTAAAATTATCCAAATGGACAATTAAATGTATATACTGTAGGTTGTTTCAACAAACAATAAAAAATGATTTCACAAGAGTCTGTGCGTAAGGAATCAGCAACACACTTGTTGGGGACAGTCGCATTGTTTATTTCCATGCAGTAATGTCCACATTTGTTCAATGAAAATGTACCTAGTAAATATTTTTGAAAAATCTATATGGTAAAAATAAATAAATGTGACTTCAAAACATTTTATATGGGCTCAAACATGTAGTACAAATTCATCTATTAGTTTTATTTATATTTCTAAAAAGTAAAATGTAGTTTACTAGTTGAAAAAAGGATGACAGAATCTGCATACAGTTGTATTGTTTAAACTGACAAATAAAGTAGAGCAACTTGTACCAATGAATAGTATCCCAATTATTACTTCTTGAAGCAGTATCTAATGGCATTGAAAAGTATTACAAAAGCTTGAGTTGAAATTCATTTTATCTACCCTCCCGGTCAACTGATTTATTTTAACAGTTGTCATTACTGGCCATTAAGTACAAAAAAAGGAAATAACATTCATCTGAGGACAACCTCTACAGTTTTCAACCCATCACAGTATACATTTCCAGTATGTCTGATTGGGAATACAGTCTTCCTATAAGATGGTCTAACCAGAGGGTATAACCTACTGTATCCTAAATGTAAGTTACAAGTCAAACTACAGCTGGAAAGCAGTTCTTTAACTAACCCCAGGATTACTACAAGCAATGGATATGAGCCCTGCCAAAACTAACCAGATGAAAATAGTTTGAGAGTCCTCACAGAGCTGGCACAGTCTCAGTCAATTGGTGCACTTCTGTCTGCCTGTGGCAGCTGTGACGAGGAATCATGTGTGTGTAGTGCTCCAGTGGAACTGTTGGGGGAAACCACCAGTGCATCCAGTGGCTTTGGGCAGGCAGTCAGCTCTGCTGGATTGACCTGGCACTGAACTGTGTTCAAAACAGCGCCATCAGGACTAATAAGTAGCTTGGATGCTACACTGGTGTGTATACCCAAGGATGAGGTCTGCAGAGAGTGCTTTCCAAGTGCTTGATTGGTCAGAAGGACAGATGGGTGGGTGGTGTTGCTTGTCTTCAGTGATGTGATTGGTTGAGCTGGACTTATTAATACAGTGCTGCTAGATGAAGGTATGGTCACCACAGGTGCTGTTTCAAAAGTGTTGACAGTGCTTCCGATTGGTGTAACCGTTGCAATGGGCAGTGTCTGCATCCTAGATGCAGCACTCACAATTGGTGGTACAGACACTGTTGGCAATACTTGTGTCCGTGTGCCAGCAAGCACTGGTTGCATGACTGCAGGCACCGTTTTTTTAATTGATGTGTTGTCTAGTCCAATATGCACTAAAGCCTGCGATAGAGCAGTCGAGGATGCTGCAATTCCAACTGCTGTCTGCTGGGGCTGTATGACTGGGCCCGGGGTTGTCACTGAAACCATCTTGTTGGCAGCAAGAGAAGAATGCAAAACTGGTGTGCCTGCTACCACAGGAGCTACAGCTGAGGAGAGGGGTGAGGCAACTGAAGGGCTGGGAAAAACAGGCAACGATGATAGAGGTGCTGACATTACAGACAAGGGGGGTGCTACTGCAGGCAAAATGGTTGATGAACATTCAGCCTGTGTGGGTGTACCAGCAGCTAACCTGAGTGTAGCCAGTGCTGAGCCGAGGGCAGGGGCACTGGTTACCACTGGGGAAACTAGGGCTGGTACACTGCCTACCCTTGGCAGGGATGAGACCACAGTGGGTGTACCTACAGGAGGTGATGCAAAATTATTGGCCTGCGAAGCTGGCCACCTAGGCAGAGCAGACACTACATTTGTTTTACTGGGTAAAAACGTTGAGGCCAGGCCAGGTGTTCCTGTTAGTCTGACTGGCGTGACATTGGGAGTGGTTGCTAGCAATGATGGACCAACAGCAGGTGTGCATGCTACAAAAGGACAACTTACGGCTGGCACACCAGGAAGCCTGACTGGGGACTGGGGTAAAACTGGTGGTTGATGGGCTACAGTGCCATGGCTTGCCCTTTGGGGAGGTACTGATGCTCCAGCGCTGGTAGCCCTGGCAGTAGGCACTTGTTGTGGTACAGGGCTAGAGATGATAAGGACGTGGCTGCCTGGACCCAAACCCTGGGGAGGGACTACAAAACGTGCATTGTTAAGGAGGATCTGTGTGCCAGCAGCAAGGGGAGTAGAGGTGTTGATGACTATCCTCTGCTGGCAGACAGCAGAGGTGGTGAACTGGGTATTGGTGGTTGTTGCAGAGGAGATGGGTGTTTGGGTTTTATTGAAAGCATGCTGAGAGGAAGATAAGTAGGAAGTGGTTTCCTCACCAATGCCACTTTGGATATTTGAAGACTGACGGACAAGAGTGGGTGTGGAGGTTTGTCCTGGGCTATTCTGCACAGTAGTGGCCAACTGAGCAGGAGAGTGGCTGGACAGTGTATTTGGGGGAATACCAAGGTCCTTCTTGATCATGTTCCCCGCAGTCAGACTGGCAACAGTAGACGTTGATGTTTGGGAGCTCTGGGGGAAGGAAGGGATACCTTGGAGATGAGAAGTGGTGGTCAGAGAAGCATGTGAGGCAAGCTGGGCAGAACCGCTTGAGATGGTATTTGAATTAGAAACCGGGACCAGTCCAGTGGTGGTGGCGATTGGACGGCCTGTGTCCGAGACAGATACTGGTGTGCTCTTGGAAGGAGAACGTGACAGGGCACCAATGGTCTGTCCAATGGTTGTCGTCTTCCCTGACAAGTGGATTTGAACCCCTGAAGACACAGAAAGTACAATATGGGGATGATGGGGTTGTATTTGGGGTATGATTATTACACTTTAATACAATATTCAAACTACTAAATACTTTAAAATTGAAAATTTGTTTCACATTCCCCAAACTACACTATGAAGTAGTACAAATGAATAATTTTAAATCGGTACAAAATGTACAGACTGTATAAACCAAAAGACACAGCAGACGTAATGAGAATACCAGTAAAGTAAATCAAACAAACCCACCTGACGGCAGAGTAATGTTCTTGACCTTGGAAAATGTTTCTGAGTTGACACCGCAAACAGGTTGGCCTGGGCTTAATCCCATCTTTAGAGTCTGACTTGATAACGAAGTGGTCAGCAGCTGTCCACTAGCCCCTGTTGCTATCATCGGCTTTGGAATGCTTGCCACAGAGGTGGTGGATGCTGTCGCTGTGGGCTGGCTGATGAACATGACTCTTGAACTTGGAAGTGATTTTGTGGAAGAGGGATTTGATAAAGCTACATTTGATGAGGAAGAAGATGGAGTAACCAGGATGAATTTAGTAACTTGGGACCTCTCATCTGTACTGGCCCGTTTCACACCAGTCTTGCTGATGAACTCTGCTTGTGTGAGAACTTGGGGAATACCAGAACTACTCAGTGATGGGACAACAACAGTGTTTTTTACTAATGAAGTTTGAAAATTAGAACCAGCAGAAGCTGTCTGTGCTACCTGGCAAATCTTTGTTGCAACTGTAGAACCAACTGAGGTGTTTGAGAATTGACCGAAAGCAACAGTAGTGCTTGAAGTCTGGCTTCCAAGGCCTGTAACAGGATGGCCACCAGTGACTGCAGTGAGCATGGGAGTTGTGACAGCAGAAGGGGACTTTAAAACTGAAGAGACCTGCTTCTGAGGTTGGGCCATTGATATACTTGTTAATGCTGGTATGGTGCAAGGGGGTGTGTAAGAGGGAGCAGAAGAAGAAAGGGTTGGTGATGTCTTGGATACGAGGAAGGCTTTAAACTGAGGTGAGATGGTGATGACTGGACTGGTGGGCAATGAACCAAGCACATTCTGGTCCGAGGATGTCTGGACTTTGACAATGCCTGTGTTGCCTCCTCGAGTCGTTACCAGGATGGACTGGGAGTCTCGGATACACACAGTCTTAAGCTCCTGTTTGGGGTCTGTGGATTTAATAGGCTCAGTCAAAACTGCACTCGAAGGAGCTGTGATGGGCGAGGGGTTTGGAGTGATACCTTGTGTTGTGCTAGCTTGGGGACTACAGACTTGTGCCCCCTTGAACCCTGCTGTGTTTATGGCCCCCTGTTGCAGACAAGGGGAAACAGAAGGAGAAGGGGTCCTCACTGTCCTGGCATCTTTTAGTGGAGCCACTTGCTGAACAGGGATTTTGTTTTCAGGAATGGTGAACCCAGGCACATTGGTGGACATACATAAGGGGCTGGACACTTTAGAAACTGGGACCTGAATGCCCTTAGACTGCTGTTGATGTGAAGAAGATGCCTTTTCTTCAGTTTTGTGAATGAGAAGGTTAGAAGGCAGAATCACCACTTGCTGCATGATCTTCTCCCCAGTGTTCTGGTCCATGACAGGATGAACAGAAATCTTGACTGGGCTGCCGCTGTCTTTTCTTACAAGGTGCCCCAGCCCCTCAGATACCTTGTACACCACTTGGACCGGATTTTTTGGTACAGTCTGGGTGGGTTTGGGCTGTTGTGATTTAGGAGGAGCTGCCATCACTGTGTCCATTCCTTGCTGTCTTAATATTTCCGTCTGTAGTCCTTGTGTTTGCATTTGTTGTAAGTTATGGGAAGCGGAGGGAGAAATTTGTGCTTTTGAAAGTTTTGTGGTAGTCACTGCAGAGCTAGGCAGGGAGACCAAAGACCCTTTGTCCAGTCTATCTACATTGTTTAACCCTGGGTAATCAGCGGGCCGTTTCATTAAGGTCACTTTGTTTCCCACACTCTTAGCCAGCAGGGTGGGGATGGGCGTGTAGCCCTTAGGTAGTCCAGTGGTGGGATGGAGGATGGGGGGTCTGGGTGACAGTGAAGCCTGGGCTGGCACCCTTGCTGGCCATGCTGAGTTTGAATCCCTGGATTGATTTGATGGGATCAGTTCAAATCTAGACTGTGGCCCAGAGTCAGTGCAAGAAGTAATGTTACTGCAGCCAGTCTGAACGCTTGGCAGCAGAGTGACGTCTTTCTCTGTACTGATCAGAGGGTGTTTTAGGTGGTTGGGAGGTATGTATGTCGTCATTCTTTCTCCAGCGGACTCAGCCACAAACTCCCTGGTACTTGCTGAGAACAAAATAGAGATGTCTCTTAGTGATGCACTGATCAATTAGCCATAAAAAGGTTCAAAAGATGAGGAGTGACACCCATTTAAATTCCTCTGGGACAGTTAAATAAGCTCAGAACTGTGTCATTTCATCAAACACAATTTAAGTCTCTATCATTACATTTCAGTAATCAAAATTCAAATGTTTAATTCTAGTTTAATGACTTTACCTCCACTCCAAAGACCTCTGGGAACCATATGTTCCAGGTCCTCTTCTGATCTTCTATAATGATCCGAGAGTGAACACATCTCCTTTCCCAAACCCCTCTCTTCATCATCATCTGATGATGATGATGAAATGCACTCCTCGCGCACAAAGTTATTGTACTCTGGGTGCTTCTTGAAGTCATCAAATTCCTTTTTCAAACGAAGCCTGATGTAGTAGAAAATAAATAATAGATTGCCGGTTTGTCTCTAATCCAGCCATGATGCTATTAAACATTGTCATTGTCATTGGGGTCATGCTTTTTGCTGGTCAGCTGAGCTCAAAGTGTACAAGACTAAGAATTTGATCAGATTATTGTTTAAATGTAAAATAAGTATTACCTGTTCCTTTGAAAGGCCTTCACAAGTTTGGGTTCCCAGGGTGAAAGCTCATTCAGTAGTCTAATTAGAGTGCTGTGGAGGTCTTTTACTGCTTCTCTCCTATAATACCATCGACCCTGTCAGTTCAAGCATGCAAAGGAAACCTTAGTCATGTCACCAACATTCTCCATCAAGTTCAGAAGCCTCTTGAGTAAATCCTCTTGACCGAACTGTGATTGTAACCTACCAATCTCTTTTTGGTGCTCTCCAGGTCATCAAGCTCATCTTCTGTCTTACTGATCAGATCTCGCAACTCCTCAAGACTGGTGCATACCAACTACAGAACAGAAATAACAGATCAAGTAAGAAAATCTTAATGAGAAAAAGATAAGAGAAAAAAAGAGGGGCAGAAGAATAGGAGGGCTTAAATTAAGACTATGAAATTGTTGTAAAATTATTTTTAAAAATGACAACTCAATTTATACAGCATTTAAAATACACAAATAGGTATATTTTGGCATGAGCTTGATTACCTTAAACGATGGCTCAACTGGAGATTCATCTTTAATTTTCTTTGATGATTCAAGTTTTTTTCCTACCAACAAGACAAAAATATATTACCATTTTCCCTTTAAATTGAAAAAACAAATATCCCATACTGCATTGTGGCAATGAATGCAAACTGACTAATGAGCTGGAAGCAATACCAGAAGAAACCACAGGACTAACATCAATACTAACTTTTTCTCACCTGTTCTATGTTTCTTCTTCTTCTCTTTTCTTTTGATCGTTGTGGAAACTCCCCGCACGGCAGATATGGCAGCCTCAGCTGGGGACAGCCTCATCCTGTCCATGTGCTGCAGCTGCTTGAGCTCTCCTTTCACCCTCGGCAGCTGTTCCCTCGCTCGCTTTTTCTTCCTCTCTTTTTTTTTTTGTCCAAATTTTGTCATTCACCCTCTCTTCACTTGAGTTTAGAGCACTGTCAGAAGACAACTGTGTTGCTAGCCCTGAAGTGCCACAGCAGCAGTTGTGCTCCTCAGATTTAATATTACTAGTTTTGCTTTTACAACATTCCAAACAGGAAGATCTTTGGTGTCCCTGGCTGAGACTTCCTCCCTCCATTTTGAGCCCCACTGATTTGGTTGGGGAGGCCTGACTCACTAAGCGAGCAGGTGACCGGCCTGTGTAGCTGTGCTCCCCTACACTCAGACAAGGCTCCTCTGTCTCTGCTGTAATGGTGCGCATTGAGCCCAGTGAGATGCCTTGTTCCTGCTTTAATGTGAGTCGCTTGGATTGATGCTTAAACTCTACAGTCTCTTCCTTCAAATTAATTTCCACACCACCTCCACCGATATGACTAGTGTGTGAAAGGGATGAGGAGTTAGTGTGTATTTTTAAGTTCAATTTAGAGTCATCACAGTAGTCTCCATCAGACGACCCTGATTCAGACCCCTCCTCCTCCTCCTTCAGTGACCACGATTTAAACCTTTTTTCATCTTCCTCACCATCCCCATTTTCCCCTTTGAAAACCCCAAGGGTCTCTGCTCTCCCATTTCCAAAATCATCAGACTCTTCCGTGTCCACGGAGCCTAAACAACACCCCCTCTCACTTTTAACCCCCTCTTCTTTCATTCCATCTGACTCTTCACCCTCTGTTCCTGGCTCCATTTCAACCCTTTTGACCCATACAGATGGGAAAGGGAAAGCCGGGGGTGTGCTAGGGCTCTGGCAGTAGATCCTCAAGTCTGCCCCACAGAAATGTGGGAAATGTATGTAAGCATTCTCCTTGCTGTCATAGCCCAAAATAGATTCCCTACATTCATGGATGGGCTGGGACAGCAATGCATCTTGCACATATTTCTGTGTCTCATACACATTATCACACAGCCCCTTCAGAAGCCATACTCGCTGGTAGAAGGGCAGCATGTGGAAGGGTTTCTCCTCCAAAGGACTCACTTCCCCAAGGATGATGAAAAACTGGAGGCAAAGTCCCAGTTGCTCAGCCTTACCTGGCTGATCATGCGAGGCACCAACAGCCCGATACCACCCCAAGACCCGCTGCCTGAGTTCAGACTCCCAGCGGCGGTAAGGCAGGGCAGGCCGGCGGTGCAGAGTGGCCCTCCGCTGGGGTGGGGACAGTAGGGAAGACATTATTTTGGACAGGAGATGGCTGCAGCGGGGCATCAGCAAACAACGCTCCAGTTCAAAGAATACAATCTCTGGGAGGTTAAGGGCAGTCTGTGCCAGGCAGAGGAAGTGCCCTATAGCAGGGAGTTCCCAAAGTGTGTCTATAGTTTGGGGGGAAGCTTGTGACAACAAAGTCTGCTCCCACTCTTCAACCTCTTTGGCTGACATTTCCTCTGCTTCCTTCTTTTCAAGCTCACGTTGCCTGAAAAATCAGAAGTCATATGTAGATTATTGGTGGATTTACTTAAAATGTAATGTCTTGTAATATTATACCCTACTAAAGCAACTTATAATCTTTTTCTCTCAAATATTCACTCACCTCTTCTCGTCCTTGGCCCTCTGCTGCTCTTCCAGCCGTAGAGCCTGGACCATGATAGACTCATGCCCCCCGACAGTGATGGTAGCCAAGCTGCGAGGTGCAAGTCTCCGCCTTGTTGAGGTGCCACCTGAACCCCGTTCCTCCTCTGCACCAAAACGTCCCTTAGAAGTCACTGCCAAGGTCGTCTTCTCTCGCAGTGTCCTTGTTTGTTGATAGATGGAGATAAAAAAAAACTCATTATGATTAAAGTTGCTCTCAGGATTGTTAGAAGTAAACAGACAGTATAGGTACACTACTGCTGTAATCCAACAGCCACACAATTGTTGAAAATGCATATTAAATGTACTATGGCTATTTAAAGCTGAGCTGTAACTGAGTAAATGTCATTAATAGGGTGATTGTGGGATCACAAACTTCCATTCTCCCATTACTAATAGCAATACATATACCATAGACACCTACATTTATGCTGTGTAGTATTACCAGCTGGCAATCTAGTAATTCTACTACTATATTACAAAAACTGCATGTACTTTCTGTATGTGAGCTAACCTTTGAGACAAACATTTGTTGCCCAGCAACATTAACATATAATCACATGACGCAGAAAATATCCTTTGTTCAACATTGTAATTACATTGTGTTTACCTGGATAGCAATGTAAGCTTTTGCTCCAGCATGATTTCCAACTTTTGAGCCTGTTTGGAGATCCAGTGGTCCACCCCATGGTAACGATAACAGTTCTCCAACATTAGCCTGAAGTCTGCAACAAACTCTGTTATGGTCTCATACTCTTGATTGATAAACTTCTCCTCCATCCTCCGCAAGCAGATCGACTGCCTGAGCTGTGCCTGACCCCAGCCCCGTACCCCACCAATACCATGCTGGGCCTCCTGGTGGCCGATGGGATGGAGGAACGGGCTGGTGATCCCTTTGTGCTTGTCTAAGAGAAAGCCAGTGAATATCCTATAAGCTTGCTGGACCTCATAGTTCATATCCTCCTCAAAGCTATTGCTGTTAGTGGAAATGCAGACCTCAGGCAGCGAGAGGTCACTGTTGGAAAACTCTGACATGCCATCATTTCTAAGTGCAACTTGGTCACCCTCAGCAGTAACATCTCCACTGTCGCCAGGACAGTGAGACGCTACTGCAGTCTCAACTTCACAGGTGCCGTTACTGAGCCCATCCTTGGGTACAACCAGGTCGGTGTCTTCAGTGCTGCTGCTCTCCCATTTGGATTGTGAGGACATGATGTCTGAGCTGAGCTGCTGGGCTGCTGAGTCTTGGTCAGTCACAGTCAAGTCTTGGGTGTGGAACAAAGGTTGGCTACAAGCTGCTGTGATTTGGTCTGTTATATCCTCCTGTTCCATGGTGCAGACACCTGAAGAGGGTAACAGGTGGTGAGCTTTGATGTTGCAAACAAGACTCCAACATAGTTTTTATGCCAGGGAAAATTAAACTTAGCTAAATAAATAATGCTTACTAAGCGTTCATATTGCGTGGTCCAAAAAAAAAAAAAAATTAAATCAGGGAGATGCTATGTTTATCACTACTAACATACCTCAGACTGCTAGGCTAAGACTCCTGTCATGGCAGGTGTTCCCATTATTACAGCCACATGATGAAACACTGGAGTGTTTACTTACCAGCAGTTGAACTCACTTTATCAACCTGTCTGATCTTTGCAAACTTTTCCTTTTCCCTGGATCCATGGCTAGATAGCATAACGTTAGCTTATTAGCGAGCAAGCTAACGCGAGTTAACAGTAAGTAAACAAAGTTTGTTCTTGCTTGCTCATAGAGGGATCTACAGTGCATTGTTTTATCACGTCCCGTCTCCTGATCACGTGCAAAATAAGACCAAAACAAACTGACCAGAGGCAGAGCTCGGTTGGTGAAACAACATACCTCGACGTTTTCAGTGCGGCTCCAGACACGCACCAGGCAGGACCGCTTTTTAGCAAAGCTTAGCAGCCACGACAGTTTGCTAGCTAGGTTAGCTTGCTATTGTCTCCAGTCTGGGGCCTGCAGTTGCTGCGTTCGCTGTCCATACTGAAAATTGTGTAGCCATTAAAAGTCCTGCTGATAAAAAGTGCATACATCGCATGTCGCCGGCACACGGAGTCATGTCAGTGACAGCAAGATCGCTAAAGGAGCATTAGCCGGAGTAGCTGATTGTCCGACAATGCACAACAGTTCATTATCACCAACAACGCTTACCCGCTAGGTTTTGCAAGTTGGCAGCTACTTTATGACATGTAAGTATTACTAGGTTCACTTCAGAGTCAAATGTGCGCAATGTGTCAGGTTTCTCCTGAACCCTGTAAGGGTCTAGGGGGGGAAAAAAAGCTAGTAAACCGACAGCCCTGTCTGGCTTGCCTGAAGACTACTGTACCACTTCACTTCCACCCTGCGTGCGCCCGATGCAAACGTGCGCAGCCTGCCCTGACGTAGCTAGTCCGTCGCGTGTCACACCAAAAAATCTGGTTTTGGAGCTGGTGCTGATACACACTCACTTCAACACTGTGCTATTGGCCTTACTGTGATAGTAGTAGTGTGTGTGTGTGTGTGTGTGTCGCCCATTGTCACTGAAGGAGTAGCAAAATGAAGACGGTTGTCATTCGAAATAAATCAATAAATTGCATCGTCTGCAAGGGCTACTGTGCACAACGTGGTGGCATCAGACGGTGAACTCTCATTCATAAACGTGTGCGCTTAAAGTGTAATTCAACTACTCACAGGAGACACAGCAGGTACTGTTCCATGTAGCCTACAGTGTAAACTTGAGCTGCACACGTTGCTCCCTTTCAACCGCTAGATGTCGCTAGTCACTAATGTTAAACATACTGCTGAGTATCTTCTATCTTACCTTTTGTTTGGGTCCCCCCCCCCACCACCTTCTGGTTATTCTGATTATGCAATGTTTTGGACAAGTGTGTGTCAGATCCTAGCGCAGGAGGCAGGATTTGAACACTGCTTGAGAGAATTGACACACCCCACAGACTTTTATCAGGGCAAGAGAGTCCCATAATGTTGTGTTTGGGTTCCTGCATGTTGGTATACACTGCTGTAGGGTGAGGGATGGGATTTATCATCAGCTTGATGTGTTAAAACACCTTATTGTTTTAATAAAACTAGACTTTGACTGTTACAGCATGTGCATAGGAAAGAATATGCAGCATCAGGAAAGCAGTAGTATTATCCTCTTATACTGACAGCTATAGAGTTGCCAACGGCACAGTGAGGAGGTCTCCAGCTGGGACAATTGTTAATTAAGCAATTATGCCACGAGAGGCATGTGCTACAGTGATTTCTGTTCAGCCACAAGGTATTGTTAGGAAAAGGGTTTTTCAGTCCAATATAAATCTTCTTTTTGATACACAATGATGGAAGAATATCTGATGTTCATTGCAGTGGTGTTCACAAATACTTTGAGGCTTTTGCTCTATGTTTTGGTAAAGATAGATTTTGATGCAATATAAGAAACTTGAATTTAAACATGTATTATAATTCATCATTATATCACTATAACACTACGATATTGATTATCTTATGATAAAATGCTTAACTGAGACCGCATTTATGTAGATTAATATAAAACCAATATCCCTACATAAAATGAAAGATTGTCCATTCAACCCACACAAAAAAGACTTTTGTATAAAGGCAGAAGAAATTCAAAAGGCGTTACATAAGGCAGAGGAATACAATAAAACCACAGTGGAGAGGGAAAATATAATACATAAAAATAGAAAACAAATTTGGTACAAATAGACAAATAAGCACAGACAAGAAATACAGTCTCAGTATTAAGTTGCACCAATAAAAAATATGCAGTGGAAAAATCAAAGGGACAGGAGAACAGGAGAGATTTTAATTTAAATGTGAAATTCACTAAAGTTTGGGCACATTGAAGACAGTCGAGCAGAATAGCAGCTAAAAAGCTTAGAGGCTTGTTAGGGTTCTTTTTCTGGCATATCCGCTATGTATTTTTGCTCAAGGGCCTTAAGTGAGCGGCACTTTAAAATAAGTTTTATAACTAATTGTAAGCCAATGGGCTCAGTTTGACTGTTTCTTATTAGAACTATGGCAGCAGCATATTGAATGTAATGCAGTCGTGTAACAGCCTTTTTGGGACGACAAAAGATGAGAGACTTGTTCTATAGTCTTTAGTTAATCCTATACTACATTTAACCAAAACTGGATTACCAGCCAACTGCCCTGTGTCCTTACTCCCAGGGGCCAGTAAAAGCCCCATATTCACAGTGGAGATTGCTTTGTAATTTGATGAATTGTAAATATATAATATATAGGAATATATATAGGAAATATATAGGAATATGCACTACTAAAGTTAAATTTCAAATGACATGGTGATGGCCTTAAGGTGAGTCCTGATTCATTGGCTTATCTTGAGGTCCTGACTTGAAGAGTTTGTCTCAAAATGTAGTTTTAGGACCATGATTACCTCAGCTGATACCATGCCTATTGCACATAGTGCATGAATTGAAATTTGTGTTTAATCGAGTTACCACGCAGTAAACCTGGGACTATGTAATATTCCAGCATGGGAATAATGTACACAAAGCACAGAGAGTGGGAGGAACAGGAGGTTAATAGAGGCCCAGTAGACAGTGTTTGCCCCATGGCTCAAAGCAGGTTAAAGTACAACAATAATACTCTCTGCTTTAAGTATTATCAGAAAAATGTACATAAAGGAGCTCTCATGGTGCAGCAGAATGGCCGCTGTCAGAATTATTGCACATTGGCTGTACTAGATATTAGCTTTAGCAGTGATTTTAATGTTTCAGTATTCTGTCAGACGAATGCAATGCAAAGGCGTGTAAAGAAAATCCAATCCAATATTTTTCTCAGAAATGTAGAATTACAGGGAGCAAAAATAGAAGTACCTCCAAATGTACTTTCCAGCACTGATCCGGCCACTCACACACTCTGATTTTTTTTTTTTTGGGGGGGGTAATTAGGCCAATTCTGCTGACAGGAAGAACACACCATGTCAAAACTACATGTCCCTATGTCTTATCCCCAGACATATTTAAGTGGCACCACTATAATAGATGCCTACTACTGCTCTATCAAAGGCCTCAGTCTCAAGGCCTTCGGATATGGCCTGGGTATTCTTTCTTTTCCTCTTACATTAAAGGGGGAGCTGTGCCTTTAACTGCAAACTGTGCTCGCTTAAACGTTATTTCGCGAGATTTGCTTGGCGCCGCGACCTCATGTGAGACACCTCCTGCGCGAGCCAGTCCGACGTTGCCTCTGCAGAGGAAAACGCAATGGAGCCCTGAACATTTTTTTTTGTTCATTTATATCTCCTTTAACCCCCTGGAAAACAACACCCGTATCCAAATACTGCTCTACCCGCTGTTTATTTGAAGCGTAACAGGGCGGTGCAACGATGTGGATCCAGGTTCGTACTATAGACGGAAAGGAGACGCGAACCGTTGAGGATCTTTCTAGATTGACCAAAATTGAGATTTTACGGTTGAAAATACAGGATATCTTCAATGTAAGCCCGCGACAGCAGCGCCTGTTCTACAGAGGGAAGCAGGTAAACCTATTTCTTTATGTCACCCCGTTATGCAACAGTCGGTTTTTTGGTGCTTTGGCAAAGGGTTTGGTGCTGGTGAGTGAGTGGTCTTCTTGGTGTTGTAGCCGTTTTCGGACCCATGCGAGCTTCCTGTTTTGATAGGAATTCGCCAATAGTTCTTGCGCAAGAGCCCGGTGTACGTGGTGTGCCAGCCCCCCCAAGATAAAAAAAAATAATTATATATTACAAGAAATATGTGGTGTTACTATGGAGCTATATTACATTGTTTGGGTTGGCGGCTGAGGAGACCCGCATGCAACAAATGTCTCACCGCCGTAGACATGTTTGTTTACATTGCCGCGAGAGAGAGAAAGGAGAACATCGCCCTCTGTTTCCACATGTAGACAAAAGTAGTGCAGTGCAAACAAAACATGCCTGCATCGAGAGCACATGTTTAACCGAATTAACGGCAGCTTCGTGCACACGCGTAACAGCCCGGTGTCCATAAATGTCTATCTTAATTACGCATTTCTGTTTTTGCGTTTGTAACATGTGGCACCCGTAGCTCCTGGCTGCACTGAGCCCATTAGCGAGGCACCAGGCTCGTGCATGTGGTGTGTTTTGATGATGTTAATGGTTTTTTGAGGGAGGAGGGGACTCCACGTGCCCTGACATCTAAAAGCAGGAGTAGTTGTGTTTACACCTTGGCTGTATGCACACGGTACAGGGAGGACAGGCAGGGCTGACTGCTGTAAAGAGGCGCACCTGTCCTCTCATGGCCTGATCATTGGGTAGTAGTGTGTGCAAATACAGTACAACACAATTCAGATGTAACTCTACCCATATGAGGTAGATGGGTAACACTTTTTAGTTATCTTTGCTGATCCCATGCCACCCTATTTTGTTTGGGGTTACTACACTCTATACCTGTGTGGTTACATCAATAACACTGCCTTCATTTACTTACTGTAATTGGCTCAAGGGTTTTTACCTAAGCATTTTGTATCTACATAGAATTGTGTCATATTAGGATATTGTGATTCAACAGTTACAAGTTAACAAGTGTCAAATATTAAAGAACAAATACAGGTGGTTTTTATATTTCCTTTTGCAAAATACTAAAAAATGTAATGCGATCAACATAAATTAAACCTTTTATCATTGTTTGTAGACTTAATTTCAACATGATTGTCATTCTTCATACTACAATATGACTTAGATAATCCGTAATACAAGAAAACCAATAGTGCTCTGGAGAAAAAAAATGTGTTTGGGCATTTACTACAATGTCATTTTCTTTGAGAGGAAAATAGCTCAGAAACCACAATAATCGTTAATTAACCTAAATAAGACTAAAACTGTGTCTTTGGTTTTAAGGCTACTGCCAGGCAGAGATATTTAGTCACTGTCCTGGTGTGATGGCAATTCCACACACTGTTAAATCACGTTGTGTTAGAAATGTGAGCAGATGTCTGTGTAATATTATGAAATACCAGTTGGTGGGAAGAGAATGGTATAAAAACTGCAAGCTGCCATCCTGACATAGGCACATGTATATTTTGTATGTCGTGACGGATGGTTGCACATGCATCCTCAAAGCCTGCGGTTTTACTTTTTTGAACACACACAGGCATATTTTATGAGCTACCACACACACTTGCACTGTAACCACAACTGTTAAAGTAGTAGATGCAAACCAATATTTGGAAAATGTATATCCTGCAACCATAGACGTAGTGCTGTAGTATGACGAGAGTTCAGTCAGAACAGAAGACTATTATTCACTATTTTTGTTCTGTTTGTTCAAATATGTGAACATTCAGTATATAAAACGATCAAAATATAAAAGACAATCCAGAAACACTGACCCACTGTATCTTAATATGTATCCTGTGTGATAGATCGGTAAAAACCTTCCCTCTGCCAGCTGTGTTCTATCAGTAATAAGCAGAAGAGGCTCTGGCAGGACACTGGTGCCATAATTTACTTAGTATTTTAGCATAACATTACAAAGCTGATATTAACACAGTATGACTCAGCCGGGCAGATAAGCCCTCAGAAGCAAACGGCCTACATGATGTGTTGATCTCACATTGTTTACATTCAGTCACACTTGCCTTCTTTCATAGGTGTCAGGCAGTACTGTAGGCCAAGGAATTCCATTTTCAAGTTGTCCAGCCTACTTCCTGTTGTGTAATTGAATGATAATGAAGTCTCCCAACGTTCAACTCTGCATCAGAGAGGCAACAATGGGTTGACTTTATTCTCTACTCGTGTGCTGCATGTTCTGTACTGCAGGACAGAGAGAACGAAAATACTTCCAAGATCTGTTTCGAATGGTGAAGGAGAGATATTAATGCCTTGAATGCAATTGTATCTCTATAGGCTACAGCACCTTTTTCTTTTGTCAAAAATAATGGTTTAAGTGGCGAACCTAATAATAGTAAACCGTTATTATGGAAAGAATTGTGTGTGTGTGTTGTTTGCACCAGTGCCTCTGGATGTATTTTGCATGTTTTTACTAGTAAACAAATTCCATTGTTCTGTTCTAAAATCAACAAAAGCCCTATGCAACTTTAAAATACCTTCAGTGACAAAGCAAAACTGTTCTCTCAATTCAACAAATTCACCAAAACTCATAGCTGCATATGACACAATTTTCAATTAGCTTTATTAACAATTAAGTAGCTGTTATGTTGGGGTGGTCCTTGACTGCCGGAGCTGTGGTTGCAAAGGCTAGGCCCGTGTAGTAAATCCTGTGCTTCCTTCATTTCACTGGAAAATGAGTGGGGAGGGTTGATTAGGGGATTTCCATGTGTTAAGTAATGCAAGGAATGAACCAGTGACACGCAGCGTACACTAGCTAGTGCCCTTACATGCTTGGAGTGCTGCCTGCGCTCTGTTAGGATTTAGACTTGTAGCAGAATAACTCAGTCTAATTCCTTTTCAAAATGGCGTCTTGTTTTTCCCCCCAGCTCACTGCGCACGCTGCCTCGCCAGTTCAAAGTCATGCTTGCCCTTCAGTCGGAAGGGTCTCGAGCCAGCAGCCACACAACTTTGCCTCAGTGTTTTTTTAATGGGTTTTTCAATATGCCTGTGCACTCATTGCGTCTCTGTTTCACTTTGAAAAACAACATCTCATGTCACTCACATTTCACGAGCAGACTCGCACACACACACCTTTCACTGTCCGTGCAGCCTTTCTGCTCAACGCCCACACTCACTTTTGCAGTAGACTTCTCATTTACTAATTAAAAAAAAACGGTTTGGCCTGTTTATCAAGTGGTTTAAAGCTAAGCTTGTATTTGTCCATGTGCTTCAAATATAAGGCTGTAGTTCACTGGTGTTTTTTTTTTCTACTGAGGCAGCAACATGTTTCATGTTGAAATAGTTGGGCTGTCGTCCACTGTTAGCTGTTGCCTATTGTTGGGCTGTAGGAACGCTTTATTGGCTTGCCCTCTTTTACAGACTGTTGCAGTGACCTAGATATCGTTACAATTTGATTATACATACATTGATGTTGTGGCTCCTCGATTGATGGGTTTTCGTTGGGTATTGCTAAGCTGTAGAATTTCATAGAGAATTTTAGGGGGAGCAGAGTTTTGCTGCAGCCATGCATGTAAACAGTCACACCCTTCTTCGACAGATAGGCTGGACAAAGAGCAAAGACAAAGAGAGGCACTCAACCTAGACTACAACTGCAGGCTTCCTAACACTCCCACATGTTTTCATAGTTTCGCCACTCATTCTCATAGTAGCTTTAGCTCAGTTAGTGGACAAATGTCCTACCTGTTTACTGCCAGCTCTTGTGTGTATTGTAAATGGTAGGGTTTCCCCTACTGTTTTTAAGCTCAGATTACCAGAGGGCTGCCCAGGTTATTATACTGCTAACTGTCTCATGTTTCTTGGGTTTAGGTTTTCTTATGTCATTAATGGCACATGTTTGCAGCTAATAAACATAGTCTGTGATCTAAATATAAACATAGAGATTGACTCATAATTATGTCACACTCAGGTTAGTCTGTCAGTATAATTATACTGACTAACACAACAGTCTACAGTATGTGATGAATACTTTCTGATAACAATAGAGGGTTGTTTACACAGTATACAACCATTCTCAATTATGAGCATAAATAAGAATTTCATACAGTAAATTGCATTTATACTCACTATTATGTCTTACTTCTTAATGACAAAGTATCAAACAACGAATACATTAAAACATATAAAATGTGTGGAAAAGGCTGTGAAATGAGCATGTACAGATTCCTGCCATAGCACTCAAGTAGAGTGGTAGATCCCAAGAAATCTTGGATATATTTTAAAAAACAAAAATCCAATTTAAGGAATTTTCCCCAACTTAGCTGAAAAGTGTTTTAGCTGTTTCACTATTTAACGAATGGGGGCAAGATGAAAAATTGCCAAAGTGGAACACTGCTTCTGCATCACAGTTAAACATTTTCCTTTTGTACAGTGGTACAAGCTTGGTGTAGGAGCTAAAATAAAGAGAAGAAAAGAGCTGCAAACGAGAGCAAAAAAACAACCTTTGTCACCTTTCCAGGTATTTCTTGCTAATTAGCGGTGAGCATTTTTGGTACGGGATTGAATGACTGTTGGCAGAATGAGGGATAAAAGATCAAAGATGGAACCTTGGTAGATGGCAGACACACAGACACACCCCATGTCATTGTTTTTGGAAATATGACCCATTTTTCTCAGCTCTTTGCAAAGACGGCCTGCGGGCGGAAACAAGGGTGAAGAAGAGGCTGTGTAGGAGTAAGGGGTTTGGATGGCCTGCCTGAGCAAAAGAGGCAGATTTTTGCTCAGCTATGAAATTCCTTCTCCACCACCAGTGTGTGTGTGTCCAGGTTGGATCTCGCACCTTTTTAAACCACTTCTTAGAACTAGGGACCGATGTTAAATGGCCCACCATGATTAGTCTTTCAATTTGGTTTCACCTTTACTTAATGGGTTAATGTATTCGGTCACTGCTATGCAGGCATAGATACTAAGTAGGCGATGCTATAATTTCAAAATGGTTTCTGCATTAAGAGCTTTTAAAGTCTTACAGTAAGATACTGTGTGACAGCATGTTGGCACAATAATTAAATTTAATGTAATATTACAGCCAAATCTCCCCCCACCTGCAGTTTCTGCTCTATAATAGGTATTATTTGGTGTAGATTTATTATAATATTAACATATGTTCCATCATTGATATTAGATGAGATGAGAACAGGCAGAATGAGGTATAAACATTTATCTCTGTCTACATGTTCAGTATGTTTTTACAGTATCCTAGCAGCCACAGGTCTTTCTCTTGTCTTTGTTTGAGGTTCTTTCTGACACCGTACTTTAGTGCCGGTTACAATAACAAATTAGTCTTTGAAAGACTGCCTGTCGAAATGCAACAGAGAAATTAGCTTTGTGGAGAGGTGTTAATTTTATTCCACTCAACAATTTGATACACATGCACGCACACACACACACACGCACACACACACACACACACACACACACACACACACACACACACACACACACACACACACACACACACACAGCGTTGCCATGCCAAGGATTTTTGACTCTGATTTGTTCAAGCCTTTTGAGAAATCTTCAAGTCGAGTGTCTCTGGTTTGTCTAAGGCTTTGTTATGATATGTGCTCAGGACAGACGTCTCCCTCTACAACACTGAACAACATTTCACTGAGTCACATAATGAATATATCAGAAGCAGTTTTTTAATTATTCTGCATTATTTATAATGAAGGAGAAATGTCACATCCTTGATGATGGTATTCGTCCTACATGGTAGAGATAGTCAACGTGCCAATATTTCTGTCAAAGAGAATTTCGCCTCCATGAGTATATGAAGATTTTTTTTTTCTAACATTGCCTGTTCTTTGTTTTAAGGATTCTTCAGCTGGTTATTACTGATGTCAGGGCTGTAACACCTCACAGTGAGAGGCTGATCACACAATGAAGTCGCTGTGGAAAGCGGCTACAGCTTAGATATTATTTATGAGGTTTGGTGCGGTGCATGAAATTCTACTGTATGTTGTTCTGATACTCAGGTCTGTCTGCGCAATTCTCTGCCCATCTATCCAGTACTTCTTAACAGTGAGGCTGCCTGCCGCAGGTCCTACCAGCAATCCTATTGTGCGTGTGTAGGATGTTTTCTGTTACTGTGTATGTTTTCCTTTCTTTTCTTATTGCAAAATAACTCAAGACAGAGGAGGATAGGCAATTACTGAGACTGAATCAAAGACAAGAGTTTAGGCAGGGAGACAGACAGACAGACAAAGAAATGCTGAGATAGATTACCACAGAAAGACAAAGACGGACAGACAGGTGAGTATAGCAACCACTGTATGGCTGTGTTTGCACCACTGCTCCTCTGATCTAAATTTCATGAGACTATTAAGAAGAGGGAGGGATGGGGAAATTGCGCTTGCTCCCTCTACCGCTCTCTCCTGCTACGCCTCCGACTGCTCTCCTCCTCGCTGTCAAATAACGAAGAAGAGAAGGGTAGCGCGAGTGAGAGTGGCGGCCATGCTCATCTCTCCAGTACAATGGGCTTGTGGGGTTGAGGGCTGAAATGAATAGCTGATGTCTGTAATGAGTTTGCGTGTCGCCATAATCTCCATTCCTAAGACAGTAGCTGCACTGTATACTTAACAGTAGATCGGTTTTGGTAGAAGAGTAAATATGGCTTTCTAATGGGCCCTCATCATAATTTTTTTTTCTCCCAAGACCATGTTTTTCTTTTTTTTTTTTTTTCTTTTTTTTTTAAGAGAGAGAGAGAATCATTTTCGGATGCCCATAAGCCGCGCTGCCTGACAGGGTTGTGCTGGTGGTGGTGGTGGATTGGTGTCGACAGAGATTGTATACATGATTCAGGTTCATTGGGGTGCGGTGGGGGGGGGTCTGGTTTGGTTGTCATAGCAACTCAGTCATTGCTTTCCCCCGCTACGTCTACTATCACTTAAATTCATGCATTCATTTTATTTATTTCTTCTTCTTTTTATTTCCAGTAGAAAACCAGTGTGGGATATATGTGAGTGGAGCTGCAGTTCAGCATCCATTTCTATCGGACTGGATATGTAAGCGCACACAAATGTGGCCAGTCAGTAGTGCCATGTAACTGCTTACCAGTCATGCCAGTCGTGCTAATGGTTCCAATGTTTTTCCTCCCTTTTTTTTTGAGACTGAAAACAAAGCTGAATCGGTTGAGCGGTTCACTTTGTTGTACAGTTATACGCATTTAATCACTTGCTAAACATTGGCTCATTTGAGAACAGAGAACAGATGTTGTTGCTGCGGACTCTGAAGCAACATCCTTAAATACATTAATATGTATGTATAATACACCAGTGGTGTGTTTAAAAGCATATAGATTTAGCAAAGTGCCGTATGTGTATTTGAATGTCGGCATGCTGTTGAGTACCGTAACAATACATAGTTGTTTTCTCTCACTGTGCTCAATGTTGTCTTCTGTCTTGTGTGTTCTTTGTTTGTCCTTGACAAGCAGCAGAGTGTATTTGTCTGAGGGCACTCTGTGGTGCAGTGGTGTTCATTTCATATCACACGGATGTCTATTAGGAAAGAAATTTGGGACAGTGTTTATTGACATTTGTGCAGTTTAAATACACCATTTTTGGGGAAATTTAAAGATGAATTATTAAAGTGATTTGTCAAAAACAAACAAAAACATTCTCTTGTTTGAGCTTTTCAATGTGAACTAAATACCTTTTGACGTTTATGACATTTTGTGGACTAGATGATTAAAACATATATTTTATTGAATGATGAAAATAACACAATACACAATTATGAGTTTTTGCATCTGTGCCCATTTATATATGTTAATAGCTTTTTTTATTTTTATATTTTTAGATGGAAGATGGCCAGACACTGTTTGACTACAATGTGGGTCTCAACGACATCGTCCAGCTGCTGATTCGCTCACAGACTGATCCTCCAGACAGCCCCACCAACAAGGACTCCTCCGGTGTTGCCTGTAGTTCAGCTCCTCCCCCTGACCCCAGGTCGGACAGCCACAACTCCCCAGCTCCTGGTTCCCCTGCTGCTATGGAAACCTCCACCAATATAGACAATGACAGCAGCAGCGTCACTACCAGCACTGTTAACGAAACCAAGCCGGACACCAGCGCTACCAGTAACTCAGCCAGTACCAAAAATGGGTTCAAGTCCTCCAGCCCGGCACGGGACACCCAGCCCCCCACATCCAGCAGAAACACACTAGCCGACCCAGGAATCGGTGTGTATAAGGTAAGGTTCAGTTCCATTTAGTGTAGCAGAACCTTTCCGGGGAGCCAGCATGCAGCATGTACTATTTCATGTCAAAATGGCTGCTGTCAAAAAGATGCAAGATTTTGCATGAAACTGACTGGTCTGCCTCATAATAAATTACAGAGCATTTAATACACGCCAAGCCGCTGCCAGAAGTTCTTGGGCACTCTTTTTCGTATGGATGTCAAATTAAATTATGAACCAAATGTATCTCGTGCTCCACTGCTATTGAAACTTCTAAACCACCTTGTAAATATAAAGTCCATGTAAATTCTGTTTTAAATGTTAACGTAATTTGACATAATTTAGCTTGAATGAAACAAGGAGTGTGCATGCTTCTGCAGGTTTTGTACTTTAATATGCCTTCCTAGAGTTGTATTTAATACTATAGCAGTTTGTGCTTTTTTATTGCCCTGCGCTGTTGTACCTCACACTGCTTAGATACAGTATTCCAGCCAAAACGTCCCGAGCCTGTTTGTATTTATGTGTCCTTGTGTGGGAGCGCATGTGTTGGTGCCAAATGTATCTGTCCATTCTCACTATTTCAGTGCTCTGTCTTTAGGTCTGATGCCCTGAATGCTTTTAATGTATTAGGACTAATGACATGCACACAAGCATGTGGCTGACCTTGCCAGGGACGCACATGCCAAACCACACATAAGAAACAGGTCATTGCAACGCTGTCACTAACCAACTTATAGATTATAAATAGACTACAGTCAAAACCCGTACGTTGGTACGTTGGTACGTTGACTCCACTCTACTACTGTACTACTGAGCTTTGCTGGCTGGCTGACCCACATGTCTGAGAATTATTTGTGTGGGACTGGACTCATTTTTATGCCAAAAGTCAAAACCAGCATGCAGGAAGATCAATATTGAAACTAAGTTGTGGAGTTGTAAATTGTGCTGAATTCACTGAATATTAAGGTCACATGCCTTTACAGGCTTAAAGCATTCTCTGCAGGCTCAGTGAATATGTGCTGTGGTTTTCCCAAATGACACATATCCAATCAGTGCCTTGGATGAAATGTAGTCAAGCATTTGACTCTGATGATGTGATGGATTTCTGAAAGTTGATTTTCATATTGGACTGACAACAAAAGTTGGCTACGCAGGGTAGGAAGAACATTTTTAAAAATCTGTTACTCTGTTTAATGCTCTCATTAAAAGCATATGATTCCTTTGTCTTTTTAAACAACATACAGATGGGATCAAAAGAGACCAGGTGTTATTTTTGTCTTTGTGTCTCCTCAGATTAACGAACTGGTGGACTGCAGAGACGTCAGCATCGGTGCCTGGTTTGAGGCCTGCATTGAAAATGTGACACGCGCTCCCAAAGGACAGATAACGCCCACCAAGGGCAAGGTGGGCCGGCCCCCAAAAAGGACTAATGGAAAGCTGGAGGTCGAGCAGGGACAGGCCCACGGCCAGGGCCAAACCACAGACAGTAACAGGAATAATGTTGTGTTAAACTCAGAGAGTAATGGAGCCTCAACCTCTCAGACAGACTCTACAGCAGAGAGCAAGGAGAGAGAAGAGGACGTAATTTACCACATTAAATATGACGAGTAAGTGACGGCTCATTTTTCTGGGGGAGAGTTCGTGCTGCAACTGAACTGATTTTGGTTGCAGTGATAACAAACACATCACCACGGGCTTTCATAAAGTGAAGATCTGAATTTTGCATTTTAGCAGACATCTGCACTGTGTCAGTGCGGCAGGCATTTTGGTCTGGCGAACAGAAATGTAAAATGCTGTTTCAGATTGGAATTTGCAGTGCTGTGGCTCAGATAGGATAGTGCGAGAGTGTGCCTTCTTCTTTGCATGTGCTGTGTTACAGCACAGCAGAAAATAGGGTTCTTGCTAATTATGCCAATGTGAAGAATGTATTTGCTCATGCTGCTGTTGTGTGGCACTCAAGATAAAAAATGTCCACCAAACATTAATACAGGGTGTGTGTATGATACTAGCGAGCATCCGTAACATCGGTTCGGTGTGTTGGGAATTGTAGCCTCTGCCTTCTCCTGGCAGTCCAGGGGACGGAGAGAGAGGGGGGGTTGTGTAGTTGATGCTACAATTTGGACTCTATCTCTTGCGCTCTCCTTTTCCAGCAAATTCATTCAGAAGCCCATGTTTCCATGGTAACTCATGAGTTCTCAGGAGCATTACTTCTTTGCTTGCCTCCTTCAGCTTTGTCTGTAATTGCTGTGAACATGCCACCGGTGAGACATAGCCTCCTCGCTGCGTCTATCGTAGTGTGTGCCTGTGCATGTGTGCGTTTCTGTCACGGGATGTTATGCCAGAGAAACTCCCATCTAGGGTTGTTGAGCAGTAAATGTATGTTTTCTTTTAGGCAGACATTCCCATTTGACGTTCTGCAATCTTCCAAATCCCCGGTATTCTGCTTTTATTTGTTTCATCATTTGCAACGGGACAGGAGTGTTCCTGCAGGGGCAGTCCAATAATACACACCATATTGTGCCCCCCTTTTTAATGGTTTTAATTATTTATCTGTTTGTTTTCGCCTCATATTTCTCATTTGGTTTATTAGATAGTTGACAGTCAAGAGAGGCAGAGTAGGGAGCGAAAAGGAGACATGAATGACAACAAAGGTCCCATTTTTAAACCCAGGATGTCACAGTAATGTGTGATTTGCGTCTTCACCAACTGAGTCACGAATAAAACTCCCAATTTTGTGTGCTGCTGAGAACCCACAGCTACAAATGCAAAAGATCTAAATTGTCAGCTTTGCCTATTGCTAAATGCAAAGTATTCCTCTCTGCCCTGAGCGCCATTCCAGGTTTCTTCCATCATTTTGTTTGCCAGAGAAAAGTGGAGGGTGGGTAAGATTGCTCCGCCTTCCCACGAACACAGACACACACACACACACACACACACACACACACGCACACGCACTCTCTCCCCTTAAACACCTGCCCGCATAGTCTGAGAAAGAAAAACCAGCCCTGCAAAATGAACTGCCATGTTTTTGCATGAAGCCGTTCTGAACTGAGCATTTCTACAGAATGTAATGAGCCACAAAATCAAAGGGATATGTTGGGAGAATCTCCCCTCTTCTGCTCCCAGGAACCGAATAGTGTGTGTGTGTGTGTGTGTGTGTGTGTGTGTGTGTGTGTGTGTGTGTGTGTGTGTGTGTGTGTGTGTGTGTGTGTGTGTGTGTGTGTGTGTGTGTGTGTGTGTGTGTGTGTGTGTGTGTGTGGCTCCATAACAAGACACAGATATGGTTTCGTGGTTAAATCTTGGCTGAGCTCAGCATATGTTTAAGTCTCTCTTTGGAGAGAGTAACAAATATAGACATGAAATGGGCAAACAATTTATGTTCACGTAGCTTTCAAGTAGACCATTCTATTTGTTATATACAAATCAATCAAGGCATCCTTTTAATGGTACCTTAATGTTGTCATTTTAACCACCTCAATACCAATTCATTTGCCCAAGTTGATTGAAAAAAAGCATTCCCCATGACATATCACCTTTTGTGTTGTGGTTGGGTTGGCCAATAGGCTAAATGCATGTGAGATTGAATTTTGGGCAGATTTAAATAAACAAAAAAGTCCTTTGCCATATATATATATATATAAAAAAACTTGACGTGAGTGGTGTTCAGTTAGTTGCAATCTGCAACATTACCGCTAGATGCCACTGGCTCTTACACACTGGTCCTTTTAAATATGATGCAAATAATTAAATACCTTGAGTTTTCCGAATCTACATTATTGGAAGCATTGTCCTCACATGGAAGGCAATTTTACATGTCACAGCAGGAAAAGCTCAGGTGTAAATACTAAAATTGATCATGGCTGAATTAATTCCGTTTAGCTGTTTCAGTTTCGTGGTCCTGGTATTGTGCATGCTGGCTGACTGTCACACTGTCATGGCTTACTGGGAGACTTGAATATAATGGAGCCATTGTTAAGGTTATTAGTAACACCTGTGCTTTTCCTACAATGACAAGTCAGAATGTCTGTGGTGAAAAAGGTCTGTTCCCATCTGTAGCTCTGCACCTTGTGAGAAATCAAGCTTCTTTTTAATCAGGCTTGATATGAAGCTGTTTAAACTAAAAATGTGTGTTTTGGGAAGGTTTTGCTTAAAAGAGAGGCTTAGCCGCTTCTTAAATGGGCTTTGTCTATTAATTAGCAGGGATCAACATATGCAGTGGAAGAGATCTTATAGTGTCTTCAGCTGCGGCAGTTGGCCTGCCATTATCTGAGCACGGCTGCTACCTGAGTGCCGCCGAGAGTTTTATTTGCTGCAGTTTCTAATTTAGTAAGTGACAATGAAATGAGGATGAGATAGTGTAATTCCAGTTTCAGTTTAGTTTCTTTCTCACTCATCCACTCTCTTATTTCCTTTTTGAAAGCCATTGCTTGATTGTGGTACTGGAATACTAGATAGCAGACATCGGCTACAGTTATATTGGTAGGAGCATTTATGTTGATAATATGCTGTTTACTATACTACATTTAGGGGCATGTTTTCGGAGACTGTAATCTTTGACATTGTGCTTTATAGGCCCTTTTCCACAGAGGACATTTTGACCTGTCACACTATTAAAAGCACAGGTGTAATTATTGAAATTGATGGTGGTTGGATTCCATTTCGCTGTTTCTGTTGCATGCTGCATGCTCAGCCATCATTAATGTTCTCAATAACACCTGTGCTTTTTGGTAATGTGAGAGGTCACAATGTCTGCTGTGAAAAATACCTATTGGTCGCCTGCGTAAGACCCGTCCTCAGTACGTGCATATCTTTGTCACAACTGTATGACCACTATAGCGTTTATAACATCTTTTAAATGTTATATGGCGTATGTTTTTGTTTGTAGGAAAACAAAACCACCATCTATTATCTGTACCTGCTTATCCTTTGCACGATTGCAGGTGACGGGATTTAGTAAAAATTGGCGCGTCAGTGTGTTGCTTTATGTAATGCCTTTCGCTTACATGGATTTCGGAGAATTGGAGATTGGAGTGCGTTGGAGAGAGATCTCTGCTGTCACATTAGAATAACAAGATCCAGGTTGAAAATCGCGAGCAAATCGGCCCTTTTAATACCTGAAGTTGCCTTCTAATGTCTTGGCCATGACTGAACTTTAAAATTTCTCTTTTTTCAGATTAAAGTCATTTAGGTAAAAAAAATTTAAAAGTTGGAGCTTCATATTTTGGCCTCAATTACTAACAAAGCCAAGGTTAAGAGAGACTGCAGTCACTTTCCCTCACTACTGTGAAGCAATTATATGTAGCTTGTTTAGTGTCAAAGTGAGTTCTGACTCTGCTGCTTATCAGCAAATTGAGGATTTCTCATTTTCTCTGTTGCCTTTCTCCCTCTTTACAGGGACTTCAGCTCAGCACACAAAGCACTAATGATGGTTCATAACAGAGGAGACTGTAAGAGCCTTTCTATTGATAAGTCATGTTGTCTCAATTTCACAACTGATTAAATATGTTTCTCCATTTTGTTTAGGCACGCTATGCATTGATAAGAGTGTTGACACAACTTTGGGTTCTTGTTTACCTCATTTAAGTCTTTCTTTCTTCTTCCCACAACTCAAGGGAAAGTCACATTTTACACTTAATACCAGGCTTTGAGTCTAGCCGCTGTGAGAGCAAAGGCGTAGTCTGTTTAACTGTGCAGAGATTTGATGCTGCAAATGTTAGATTTCAAACCTTCAGATTTACAGTTCAGGTTCTTCTACAGCATGTTATACCAGCAGGTGGAATAACTCAAGCAGTGTTTCAGTTGAAATCACTGTATTGTGTTTCCAAAGTAGCCATTCATGTTTACGTGTAGCAGTTGTCCTGAAGAAGGAGCCTATGATACTTGTTTTACTTGTGAAGTGTATAATTCAGGTTTAAAAGTTTGGATGAAGTTATTTGAGAACTGCTTATATTTTGTATGGATGCCTCTAAAGATGTTTAGCTGCAGATAAACATGTCATTGTACTGCACATTGTAAGTGCTCAGGGGATTTGCCACATAAATACCCTCATTAGAGGGTAGAGAGCGTACATGCTTAAATGCAGTGCAGCAGGAGCACAAGAAGAGTCAGAGAGTCCATAAACTGACTTAGTAAACTCCATTATTCAGCAACATCTGCCATAAGATGACAACTACTGGTCATACAAAACCAGGTAAAGTTGTAGCATCAAAACCTCTAAGTGAATTTAATTGTGCAAGGGGGCATTTTATTGCTTGCTTTAATTCCGTAAGTGGGGTAATGTGGCATTTCTTTATTAAAGGTTACATAGTCACCCTTTGACATATTAAAATTGTCCACAAAAGGTTTTCTCTTGTTTTTGTTTGAATGATTTTGGAAGAGCTTGAAAGCAAAATCTTTAAATAAATCTTTAGAGAGTAGCTTCCATCAACCATGGGCAGCTGCATGAAGTACTGATGCCTCTTGTTGAATCACTGCCAAAATGTTTGAACAGGCGTCATTAGTGTTGTATGCAGAAATCTTGTCTTCTGGCCAAATCTGAATTGTCATAGTTTTTAAGTCTGTTTTTAGATGGGTAAAATTTAAGAATCTGAGGTAATAACATCATCAATAATTGTATATTAATACAAAATACATGCATGTTTTGTCAGATGCCAGAAAAAAAACCAGCACAGGCTTTCTAATGCATGTATCACATTGCAGGGCCAGTAAATTGATCTGAGAATGTGAACAGTCACCTTTGTCCATTAAGATGATTGTAGTTCATCCATTATTTTATTCTGTTGCCTTTTAATGTTTATGAAAGGAATGAAATCCTATTCTAGTCCTTTGGTCAGTGAAGGTCATTGTTTCTGTTCACACTGACAAAATGTAATTGTCTTTTTTCACATCACATCAGGCTTAGTAAGATATTTCAGCTAGCAATAATAATAATTTTATATTGTTCTATTTTTTTCCTAGTGCTTCTGTAGGTGAATGTTCATGTGTCTAAACTAGTGTACAACAGTACAGAGCGTGAGCTTGTGTGGTCTTATACTCGGGTGCTTCTGCTCCCCTTGTGTTGCTCCGTGTTCCCCTTCTGTTCATGCTGAGTCCCATTGTGCTGCTAGGTTGATATTCCCCTCCTGTGTGTGTGTGTGTGTGTGTGTGTGTGTGTGTGTGTGTGTGTGTGTGTGTGTGTGTGTGTGTGTGTGTGTGTATATGCATGTGCATTTTGGTGTGTGTCTGTGTGTGTTTGTGTTGCTAGTATTCACCCCCCTCACCCTACCCTACCCAAAACCTCAGTAATCCCTTGGGCCTAAAAAAGGAAATCCCTCCACTGTGCCCTGGCCTCCTCTTCCTGGGAGTACTCGCTGGTTGTGTGCTACAACTCTTACAGTCTGCCTCTGTAGACACTCTTCAGTCAATTTACAATGGCTTAAAATATGCAGCGTAGTCTTCTTAGTAATAAAGTAAAGCGTACGTATTGCATACTCTGAAATCTTAAAATGTCGGATATAATCATTTTAGCCTGAGCTCAACAGGCCATTGTTGGTTCTGTGTCAGTGCAGACTGTCTTGAGAAAGTACTCAGTTTAGGCTCCACTTTTCCTCAAAAACATACACATACACTGCTCGCTCATGCACACAATTCTCTACTTCCCCCTTCACCTCCCACTGTGTAAGTAGACCCGAGTGTGCATGCTGTTGTGCAGTTAAACTTCAGTGCTAACACATTGTTCGTCTGTAAGCGTAATTCCAACTATTGGCTAGCAAGCAACCTGTCAATTTATCTCTTGAGTTTGGCCCGATCCTTACAGTTAATGATGATTGGCAGGCAGGATACCTGCACAGTTAACCTCAATACCTCCACTCCAAGTTTGCTAGACAAAAAGACATTTCACACTTCTGCAGAGCGTCTTTTGGAAAAGGAGGAACATTGTTAATTGTTAAGTTAAGCTTCCCTTTCTTGCCAATAGTTAGATAATAGATGTGTTAGATGAGAAGGCTGATACCATTATCCTGTCTGTACGGTAAATATGAAGCTGCAGCTGGTTAGCTTAGCACAAAGACTTGAAAAAATGGGAAAACTGCCAGCTTGTAATGTAACAAAATATGCCTGCTAATGCCTCTGATGGTCGCTCGTTTGTTTAATACGTCCAAAAACTGAAGTGTAAAAACAACATGTTGTGGTTTTACAGGCAGTTATGTGTCAGACTATTCATTGGTCAGGTGGAGTAACTGTCTTGCCGTTGGTTGCCTGGCGGCCTGACCATAACGTCAAGAGGATAAAACTAGCATTGTTTTTAGAAAGTAAATGAGCAGGTTTGCCAAACTATTTCTTTAAAAGACTTGTCAAACAATCTGTGTGAGGTAAAAGGATTTTTGTGGTAGTGTTTATCCTTTATGTTTTAGAAGTGAAACTGAAACTAAGGCTTGGCAATATGCCCTAAAAATAAAATCTCAGATTTTTTCACACCACATCGGATTTATGATATTAATTAATTTATTTATTTATTTTTTTTGTTAAAAACAGTCCACTAAGACACCATATGTTTGGCCATGCTGTCTATCCCGGCTTTATAACATGCGCAGTTTTAAATCGTGTATGTATATATGTATATATATGTGTGTATATATATATATATATATATATATATATATATATATATTTTACTGTATAGTTTTAATTAAAACATAAAGTCAAATTAATCAACTTAATGAACTTTGAAAACAAAATACTGTATTAGGAGTGATGCCAAATATCTCTAGTTTCCCGAACTAATCAGATTCTCCAGTTCATTGTTGGTTAGACCCACCTCTGTATACTGTACTGTTGCTCATATCAAATAATATGATCTGTGTATTTAGTCCATCAGCTAAGATTGAGCCAAAGCTTTCAAACATCAAATATCTAAAAAAAAACTATGGATGGATTATTCAGCCTAATCCTGCCATTACTACATGTTTGTTTATCTTGGCTGTTAATCACCTTTAGTCACCTCACCTTTCCTCACGCTGCTGCTGAATGTGGCAGTGAGTGCAGCAGTTCCCAGAAATTATGCTCAGGATTAAGATAACTCAAGCTTGATTAAACCATACTGATGTTTCTCAGACAATTGACTTTGTCACTTGGGCACAGACAATATACAGTAAATACAAAGATGCTGCTATGGAGAATAATGATCATTTTCGGTTCCGTCCTCCTTCCTTAAAACAACGACTCGTGTGCTGAGCCTCTAAAAGTTTGTAATCTAGAAAAAGAATGTGGGGATTGCTGTCCATACGTACTACATATTGACTTTGAAAAGACTGGTCAAAGTTTGACTAAATGAGTAAGAATAGTGTTAGGACCACGGCACTAAGGTTGCTGTATTGCATTTAATTTCTGTGTAGATAACTAGGTGTGTGGAGGGAGGCCATAGTAGTGGAAATCCTCCTTAATCCTTTGTTCCAAAAACCCAGGCAGAAAGCTGTTTTGTGCAAATGTCTCATGGTATGTAGAGGCAAGTCTTTGACAATCTACAGTATGTGAATGGCTTCTGTAAAGCAATAGGAGAAAGTGGGGTAAAGTAATTTATGTTTAATTGTTTGAGCTTTCTGTGTCAGAAACTCGTATAGAATATGTATGAGCTGCTGGTGGGAAAGAAAATCCTATTTGTCCTGAAGACATAATGTGTAAAACTAGTCCAGTCTAAATTTAAATCCATGGTTACTGGTAATAGTATTTTTGACTTTGTTTGACTTCTAGTGGAGGTTTTAGCTAAAATCTTGCCTGGCCTTGTCTTTAAGTAGACCAGTGCTTGAACCTTTGTTAAAACAAAAAATAACACCATATTGTGCTGTTAGCCATATTTAATTTACACTGCATTCTGCGGCAGACCGAAGAAGGCAGATCACAGCGCTAAACTCGTATTTCATTAAATTGACGTAGGTCTGTAGACTGACAGCAGTGACAGCTTTTTATGCAAAATCCACTTGTTTTTACAGCTTTCACCCCTCTGTGCTTGTGTGGGCTTCTGCAGACTTGCATGGACTTGTATGTTCCTGCACAAAGGAGGCATATATTGCTTGTCAGTGGTGCAGTCTGTGACTTAACGCATTGAGCTGTTAAATAGTTCACGTCCATCTGTTTTTATAGAATATGCTGTTCTGAATAGCCGCTTTTTGCTGTGGATTCTTACGCAGATTTCTTGCCACCATGAGGATATAATTAATGCCAAGTGCTTTAGTGCTCAACCCTTATTTCAGTAGATAAGATAGCAGTGTGAAAATCAGAGTGATGACAGCAGACATTAAAATACTTACACATGTTAACCGCCTTCATTCTCTCTTCTCTTCTTTCTTTCCCAGCTACCCAGAGAACGGCGTGGTTGAGATGCGATGCGTGGATGTGCGGCCACGTGCCAGGACCCTGCTGCGGTGGGACCAGCTCCAGGTGGGCATGCACGTGATGGTCAACTACAATATGGAGACACCAGATGAGAGGGGCTTCTGGTTCGACGCTGAGGTTCAGACAGTCAGCCAAACCACCCGCACCAACAAGGAGCTCCGAGTCAAGATCCTCCTGGGGTGAGGATCTTCCCTCCTAGGTGGGAGGGTGATGCGTCGGGTTGCTGTTTTATTTTCTTTATTAGAATATCTGCTCAGCCAATTTGTGTTTTTGTTGTTTACCAAGACATAAAATGTAACGTTTCGCTGTGTGACTTCTTTCTATCTCTCTATAACATTCTTAATAACACATCTTTTCACTTTCCTCTTGTTTTTTTTTTTTTTTGTCTTGCACTGTCGTCTCTGTCTCTCTCTTCCTTTCTCATTCTTGTCTCTCGCCCTCCCCATAGGGGTCCTGGAGATGTAATCGGGGACTGTAAAGTTCAGTTTCTGGATGAAATCTACCAGGTGGAGAAACCAGGAGCTCGTGCACTCTCAGCTGCAGATGGACAATTTAAACGTATGCAGAAACTCATACACACACAGTGAAAATAGTGGCAAAACTTGTCCATATTGCTTTTGAAGGTATATTTTAGCGTGACCATACCATAAGATCATCTTTAAGTTTCTGTTCACACATGTGCATCTGTGTATGAATGTTTCAATTCTGTTCTTGGATCCAGGGAAGAGTGGGCCAGAGTGTAAGCACTGCAAGGCTGACCCCGAAGCAGAGTGTCGCTTCTGCTCCTGCTGCGTGTGTGGTGGGAAGCAGGATGCCCACATGCAGCTGCTGTGTGATGAGTGTAACATGGCGTTTCACATCTACTGCCTCAACCCGCCACTGGCCACCATCCCGGAAGACGAGGACTGGTGAGAAAGCGCATAACTCAGCAATTGGCCACAACATCCTGTGCTTCTCAATTTGAAATGGTTGATTAATGGTGTTTGGTGTGAGCTGAAGCACATTGAAGCAGTAATTAATGGGTGATTGAGATTGAAATAAACATAGAATAATGACACAATACAGTCACAGGTGTGAGATTATCTAATGAAGCGGCTTAGTTCGGGAGAGCAAGATCAGCACCCTCTGTTTCTGTGTCTTGCATGTATTGCTTAGTGGAAATAAAACAGCAAAAAGCTAAACATTAAATTTGTATGTAGAGCTTTTGTTGCAGCTCTATTCAAACTCTCACACACTCACCTGCCTACATCCACAGAAGCAATTTCCTCTCATTCTGCCAGGTACTGTCCCACCTGTAAGAACGACACCAGTGAGGTTGTTAAGGCTGGAGAGAAGCTCAAAGCCAGCAAGAAGAAAGCCAAGATGCCTTCGGCAACAACTGAGAGTCAAAGGGACTGGGGAAAGGTGAGACCCAGGGGCACCTCAAGGTCTGTAATATACATATACATATACACATATATACATATATAAATATATGTATGTATGCATGTTTGTGTATATTTACAATCCTTTAAGAACTGTAAAATAAATCTCACCAGCAAAGTTACAATTTCATCAAAACATAACAGTCCTAATGGAAATGGAGTACACAACAGCAAGTGTTTGTGTCTGTGCCTGTGCCGTTATCAAAGGTAAATAGTGTGTTTCATGTGAAGCGTTTTGTGTGCACCTCCTTTGAAGCTCTGTCAAATATTGCCTGTGCACATCTTAGCTTTTCCCCGCGAATCAAATGATCAGATCAGAACTTTAAGATCCAGTCAACAATACTTAACATCTACTTAACTTAGATCAGCGTCCCGAGGTGGATTAACAATGTTGGTTTGAGTCATAGCATTTTTTGCAAATGCCTACGTTTGTATAAATATTAATGTGTTATTGATTATAAAGCTCTTCTTGTATAATAATAATAACATGACTAATGAACACTGTGTACACCTCCTTTTTCACACAAGGGCAAAATTACATTTAGAATTTCTTACTTTGCAAATTACCTCACTGCTAGCTGCCGAGGCAGAAAATAAGATAAAGGGAAGACAGCTGACATGTATTGAAAATAGTTTTTAAAAAGCATCTGTTTTAAACATACTGTTAAATATTTTCCTCAAAATCTCCTCAGAGTCTTCTCATGGCAACACTTTGAGATATTGTGTGGCTCGTTTCCATCCCGGCCTGGCTGTCTCCCTGACGCTCTGCTCCATGGTGTAATGTGAACAATGCCATTAAGCATGACTTAGCCACTTTCCTGGAACTGCCAACGGAAAATAACTCATTTCTTTACCAGAATGCTCCCTTTCTCTGTGGACTAATTGAAAACAGCCTGGCTTTTGTGTTTGGGCACATTTAAGTGCTGTGAGTCACACAGCATTTATACTTGCCTTTCACATTATCGTAATTTTATAACCCTTAAAATAAAATACTTTTCTTTGTCTTCTTACTTTTGAAATCATGTGTAGCTTATGAATAGAATGCTGAATTCTGAATCATTGTCCTCGCATTCATCATAATGTGATCTAAAGGCATTGGCACTCGCTGACATTTGGTGGTATTTCTGTGCATGCGGCTTAGATTCTTTGTTGTCTTTCTTGGTGTAATTGCAGGGTATGGCCTGTGTGGGGCGTACCAAGGAGTGCACAATTGTTCCATCAAACCACTACGGACCCATACCCGGTATTCCTGTTGGAACCACCTGGAAATTCAGAGTTCAGGTTAGTTGTTTTTACAGTGCATTACAAATGAATTAGGTATATATAGAAATTAAATAAACAAACATTATGTTGTTATGGATAATATCTTTCCCTAATATATCCCTCACACTTAAAGGTGAGTGAGGCAGGTGTTCACAGGCCACATGTCGGTGGTATCCACGGACGGAGTAACGATGGCTCCTATTCGCTGGTGTTGGCTGGGGGCTTTGAGGATGAAGTGGTGAGTTATTTGTATTTTTTAATAGATGTGGATTAAACTCTATTATGTGGATTACCTGTTGTTTTACTCTGGCACATAGTTGGCAGAGTCACATATGCTGATCACCTTTTTTATGGTTACCATGACTTGCTGTAGGACCGGGGAGATGAGTTCACCTACACGGGCAGCGGGGGTCGTGACCTCTCAGGAAACAAACGGATCGGAGAGCACTCTTTTGACCAGACCCTGACACACATGAACAGGTATGACACTGAAAGATGACCTCCTATGTATGTAAGTTTGATCTCAAAGATACAAGTATGGTGTTTTGTCATTTTAATAGAGAACAGAAATGTCCACTGAGGCACCGCAGTGCATCAAGTTTGAACTTAAAATAGATGGCTCCTACTGGACCCTGTTGGCTCAGTTCAGGCTGAATTTAAAGCTCAATTTCTCTCAGTTTAGTCAAGCTCAGGGGTCGAACTTGCACAATATAAAATACTGATATTATGTTTTTGTCTGAAAGCTATTTCGGTTAAACGATCATATCCCAGGGCAGGAAAATGGCTGCAGCTCTAACTATGGGGGAAAAAAAAAAAAAGGAAAGATTTTTTGATTTTATTTAAAAAATAAACTAGATAGACTTAACAGCAATCAATAACTGATTATTCATTATCATCCATCATCTTTAGTCAGACGTCCTTCTGTCTTTCTATAACTCTTGGATCCTGACTCCTGCAGGGCATTGGCTTTAAACTGCGATGCACCTCTGAATGACAAAGACGGGGCAGAATCGAGGAACTGGCGGGCAGGAAAGCCAGTGAGAGTGGTGCGCAGCTCCAAAGGGCGACGCATCAGCAAATACGCTCCTGAGGAGGGAAACCGCTATGATGGTATATACAAGGTAATGATGCATTTCGCTGTAAACCGAAAACAGATCGGCTAACTTCAAGTGAAGCTGCTTAAAATACAGAGACGTTATTACAAATATGGACCAGCACCAGTGTTATTGTAATGTTAGTTAGAACTGGGTTCAAGCCCCTATGACAGCAGTAGTGCCACTATGCACTTCCCTAAAAAAAATACCTAAAATGGCTCTGAAATTGATACATTTAATGTTATTCTGGTTGTGTGTGAATTTTAGGTGGTAAAGTACTGGCCAGAGATTGGAAAGTGTGGTTACCTTGTGTGGCGGTACCTGCTGAGACGGGACGATTTGGAACCAGCACCATGGACACCCGAAGGACTGGAGAGGATCAAAAAGCTGGGCCTTGCTGTTCAGGTTAGACTGCGAGTCTCTCTCTCTCTCTCTCTCTCTCTCTGTGTGTGTGTGTGTGTGTGTGTGTGTGTGTGTGTGTGTGTGTGTGTGTGTGTGTGTGTGTGTGTGTGTGTGTGTGTGTGTGTGTGTGTGTGTGTGTGTGTGTGTGTGTGTGTGTGTGTGTGTGTGTGTGTGTGTGTGTGTGTGTGTGTGTGTGTGTGTGTGTACTTCACCGATACACACTACAGATATCCACTAAGGCATTCTTTTGCAAATGTACATCTTGAATATAGAACAAAACTACTTCCCTCTTCCAAATAAAGCGGTGCTCATGTCTCTCCCCGTCTGTCTAAAGTACCCGCCAGGCTACTTGGCAGCCATGGCTAACAAAACAAAGAAGGAGGCCTGTGCCAGACCAGGTCGCGGCGGCCGGAGTAAGCACTATCCCGGCAGGGGGAGGCCACGGAGACACCGCAAGATCAAGGAGAAAGAGGAGAATGGCGAGGAAGAGGAAGAGGAGGAGGAGGAGGAGCAGCAGCAGCAGCAGCAGCCAATGGCCAGTATGGATGAAGAAGAGCCACAGAGTAATGGAGAGCAGAAGACAACCAGAGATAGTGGTGGGTGCTTTTAGAGATGCAGCTTAAAGCAGGTCAGACAAGGTGTTGTGAGAAGAGGACAGGTGAGAACAGTGTGAGCAGTGAAACTTATTTTATAAGATAGCTTGTAAAAATTTAATATCCATCAGCATCTTATTTTCCTCAGGCATGGACCACTCTAACTGTCTTTTATTCTGGAAGAATAGCTTTGTTTTCCTTTTTTTTTTAAGTCTTATTTGTGTGTCTTCACCAGAGCCGTCACCGGTGGCAGAGCCTCCCTGTAAACGGGTGAAGATAGAGGAGACCTTCCAGCTGTCAGAGCAGCAGCAGCAGTTGATCCAGAAGGACACAGCCAACAAGAAACTCTGGGATGAAGCCATGGGAAACCTTAAAGAGGGACCGGTATGAATCCCAGTTTGCAGCCTCTTCAAGGACAGCTCATTTAATGTCACTGATGAAATTCATCCCCTTAGTCTCAGATCTTAAAGTCCAGCTGAAATCACATTTACTCATTCCTTTGCATAGTCTAAAACAATGTCAGTAAGGGGTTTAAATGTATTGTTAATAGTTTTGTTTTATTAAAAGGAAGATAAAAGATGGATCAGGATTGATCCTTTTCACTGGCTGGAGGTGTCAGACACTGAGCGCGTCAGTGTCTGTTTGACAGCAGCTGGCAGGGTGCCAGAGTGCCGGTAGGGAGTGAGAGAGAAAGTAAACAGACTTGTGCATTAGCTCCATGTCATTGATAGACGTTGTGTTATTAGTAGTGATTTTGAAGCATAAGGACCACACCAGCATCTAACTGGACCAAAGTGACATTTACAGGTATATTTGATGTGTGTTTAATGGGCTTCAGCTGAGCAACAAATAGCTATCAAGCGTGAAAACCAACGTTGGAAAGGCACTTTTTAAGTTGCAGTTGGATTTTAACTTCCTGAATCAGTTTCCTCCATATTCCCTCATTTCAAGACCAGTATGTTACTGTTTTATATTTGGCAGAGCTGGATGTAATCTTATGAATTTTAAAATGGCAGTATGACCAACCTACCTCATAAAGGGTAAGACTGTAAAAGTTTTTTTCCTACAGTAATATATATTTTTCATGTGTTTCTGTCTGTGAACATATAAAGAATTTCCTGCGCAAGATGGAGCAAATCTTCATGTGTGTGTGCTGCCAGGAGCTGGCCTTCCAACCCATCACCACTGTCTGCTCACATAACGTTTGCAAGGTACGTGCTGAGTGAAACACTTGTAACCACCACTATTCAAAACACCCTGCCTTTTGTATTTATGTGCGAATCCCTTCCTACCTTCCTCTCTCCCCAGACTTGTCTCCAGCGGTCGTTCCGAGCAAAGGTGTACACCTGCCCTGCCTGCCGCCACGACCTGGGCAAAGACTACGTCATGACCCAAAACGTGACGCTCCAGCTGTTGCTCGACCAGTTCTTTCCCGGCTACAGCAAGGGCCGATGAGGTCAAAATCACGTTTATAAGTAGAATACGTACATACACGCACATAAGCATCCATTCTGTGCACCCACGTATACCGGCGAGAACCTAGAGCTCCACTTTAAAACGCATTGCGCACACATACTGTACTTACCCACGGGCAAATGTATATTGCATATACAGCCATTTATGTATACAATCATTCATACACAAACAACCTCAGTAGGGACTGACCTCATCTGTTGAACTTGGACCGTCTCCATTAACATCACCAGCCTGAATTTCAAGAAAATTTTTAAACCTCCCTACTCCTGCCACACAAACGCACACAAAGACAAACGCACAAAAGGAGCCCCCAATTCACACCCACTAGCCACCTCAAGATATTAGCTCTCTTTTTTTTGGTTTGCCCTTCCACTGTGTTGTCCGTTGGTTCAACAAATTGATATACAGCACATTGTTTGAGTGGAAATTTAATTATCCATTAGACTCCTGCCAACCTGTGCACATTTTGTGTACCATGTACGCAGTTTTACACCAACATACTCAGCTGAGATGCATCATATATGGTATGTGCAGTATTTTACTCAGCTGGCAGATAAAGGTGCTAGTTTAATACAGTGATTTTTAGGCACAGCAGGACAGACAATTTTAAGGTAACCACCCCTGCATAGCATTCAATGTGAGCAAGTAGGTCATGTGACCCACTGACAGTCAAGAATTTACATTTATTAATCTATGGAAATGAAGCACACAGTGTTTTATGCCCTTGAAGCACTTTATCAATGACATGTGCGGCAGACTTATTTTGTATGTTAATCAGGAGCACATGCTAGCATCCTGCTAGCTGCTCATGTCACTTGGAATAATGCCATCGCCATGCCTTGAGCTAATAAGAATAGCAAATGTCTCGCCAGAGAAAACTGTCAGTGCATTTGCAGAGAACAGAAATTGGCAGCTGTCTCCGGTTTGTTTGAGAGTGTCAGGAGATTTCTGAGCAGCAATCTTGCATACTTGGTGAACACAACAATGATCAACAGGCACAACTCTCTCCTTAGATTTTATGTGGAGTCCAAAAAAAAAATAAAGGCACTCACTTCATAAACATACCAAAGACATTAGGCTGTAGAGCAGGTTAATCACGCCTAGGAAGAAAATGCAATATATACTTGTGAAGTATCAAACAGGGCAGTACCAAATGATTGTCTTTAGCAAGACACGTTAAACAAACATGTACAACTAGTATTAAATCTCTCCCATAAGTGCTGTTGAAACCTCCGACGCTGTAAAAATCATTGTTAAACATTAATGTTAAGACATTCATAAATGAAGTTCTCACATCCATATGCATTTTCACACATGCGTTCATTCATGGTTCCACTTCTTCAGGCAGATGGACTAAACTGTATTTTAGATGAGTACGTTCTAGTATTTCCCTTTTTAATTGGTCTACCAGAGAAATACTGTAATGATATAATGAAAATTAAAGATTTACATGCAGCGCCCTGAAATGCTTGAAAAGCGTGAGGTGCGCCGCTTACACAGAAGGGCACACTGCGGTTGTCCCTGGTGTTACCAAGCAACCACAATCAAGCAGGACTTCACACAAAGACGGTTAGCATATATTGTGCTCAGCAGACATCCTTTCACTATTGTTCTTCTTTCTGTTAGATTTAGTGTAATGTTCAGTGGAGAGCTGCTTCTCCCTCATTGTAGAAAAGTAGTCAGATGAGTGATTGCACAGCCAGGAAGATGTCAGTTATTTGTTGTCACATTACATCCAGAAAATGGAGATACATCTGTGTCAATGAGCCTGGAAAAAAAGGCCATTGATTTCTGACAAAGAGCTTTCTAATCAACATGATAATTATGTGGATTCACACCATCAGAGGCTCAGGGACACTGCCAAAATGTGCAGTGTTCCCCAATATAACAGTATATAAGCTAGATAGAAATGTACTGTGTGACCAGTATGATATTGTCATTTATTTGTCAATACTTTTTCAGAAAAATGGAACAAAATATACTGTACTTTCAGTGCTATGAGGTTGTCTCACCAATTGTACACTTGACGTACTAAGAAAGATTTGCAACAAAGGATTTATCTAACAAATTCTGAAATTGGTTGGGATTAAAACATTAGATTGTATGCAAGATACAGCTTCATCGCCTCTTATCTGAAGTACCGAAATCAGAAATGTACTGATTTAAAATCCTAATGTTAGACTATTTTGTTTAAGCCGAGTTATTGCATGGCTGGTTGCCTTTAGACAACGTTTAGCATTTGAGAACTTCTTTTTTAAAACTGAAAAAGTTTTTTTGTAGAAAGAAGTCATAGTCTAAAGTATGGAAAAGGCTTTGTTCAATCGTATTGACACTAATACTGAGAAATGTAAACAATACCCATCCTTTCGTGGCACAAGTGAGAGCTTCTCAGTATTGCGAGAGGTTTTAAAGAGTGCATATGTGAGAGTTCACTGGTGTATATGAGCATAACACATTTCGATAGGTAGGGTGTTTTAATACACTTCAATTCAACATAACCTTGAATACATAATAGAAAACTGTATGTATGTGCAAGGTAAAGTTTTAATTATGTCCTTTACTGCACCCCATTGTCAGATGTGGAGTGAAACATAAATATGGGCCTGGGTTAATCATTTAATGTGCATGCCCCTTTCAGCCAAAAAAGAAAACATTGAAGTGTCATGAAGAAGCTTTTAGAAAAAGTAAAGACGTTTCAATTGAAAAAACAACACTTAGAACAGAAGACACGAGGCAATGGACCTCCCTTCATTTCATCCTTACTTACACTTTAGGTTTTAGAGAAAGAGAAGTCTGAGTTAATAACAGAGCAGACCTGGAAGCAGACAGAAATGTTTGAGAGTTACTGATCAGTTCTGATTGTCGGTTGCACTTAATACGTAGATCTCAAATACGTAAATACAGAAACCGATTTCTTCACACAGACAGTTGGTTCCAAAGACGAGGTATCCTATGAGAGAGAACTGGCTCCATTTCTTTCTCTTTTTTTGCACATGCTGGATAACATTGTACACGTTTATGTGGATTAAGAGCATGCGTGACATACCATATCAATCATCAATCAATCAGTGCGAGACAGCCAGGTCTGTGTGGATTCCAGGCGTAACCTAAAAACAACTGAAACATTTAGGAAAGCATTTGTTTCACTAGATCATCAGCTATGAACACACCATGGTCCAAAATTATAGTAAGTAAAGTATTTAACGGCAGCTGTGAACATGAAACAAGGAAAACTAGACCTTCTGCACCTCCTCTTGGCTCTGTGTTCAGGCTTTAGAAATGGGACGAAATGGGAGGCTTTGGTCAATCGCAGTTCATTTGCGCACGTCCCTTCAAACGGCGAAAGCCCAGTCTGCATAGCCAGACATAGCTCATCATTTCATTTAAGCGCTGTGACGCCGCTGGAGGAAGTGAAAGCCTAATTCGGTGGCAGAAAATCCTGCAACTTGTGATAAATTCCCAATACCTCCTCCTCCGCCTACAGCAGCGTACAGTCCAAAACGCGCGTGCTTTCCTCAGATGCAGCAGACCAAAAGACCCACAACTTTTTAATTCTCTTACAACGAGCCTGTACAGAGCTCAAAACTTCTTGACTATTTTTTTAAGCTACTTTTCTATGTTTACATGTTCTTATACGTTACTGTCCAGTGGATTCAGCCCGACCAGCGAAGAACTGCCCACTCCATATCTTTTAAATGCACTTGGAAGCTTCACATAAATTGTAATTGCTAAAAGAACGCCGCCACAAATAAGACCAATGACATAATATGTCATAACCTTTGAGAATACGACTGCATGTCATTCATCCTTTCCACTTTTTTTTTTTTGTACATTATTCCCCAAATTGTTTGATAATCTTTAAATAATTATTGCTTTATTGTTACCATGTAAATGATGTCCTGTGCACCCATACATGTTCAGTTATTTTTACATTTATATCTGTTAGATCTGAGTTAAAATAGTTCTTTCTACCTTGAGCAGCTGACACAGATTTGCATCTTTTCCTGTGCTGATATGGTACTTTAAAATGTCCAGGGTTGGCAGGTCTGATAGGAACTAAAACAAAAACACCCCAGTGGAGAGCAGCAGCAGCAGCAGCAGCAGCAGCAGCAGTCCTCTGTGCTGATCTGTTGTGATCTGGACCCTGGAGTGCTGAATTTCAGATCACGCATCTGAGAATAGTTTTAACTCTTGAGTTGGTTTCGTGGGAGAAAAATGTAGCCTCTCGTTCACCGACATCATCGCGTAACACCCGTAACAGTCTTTGACGCAAAGCCATGTTTAGTGTAGAGCTGAGCTGAGATAACACACTGCTGCTGTACACATCAGTTTCTTACTACTCTGTTCCGACCCCCCCCACACACACACACACACACCCGGCAATTGTTACCGTTAACTTCTTCCACCCTGTCATTGGCCAGCTGTTTGTTTGTTTGTGGTGATGTCCTTGTTTCTGTTCAATCATTCAGGATTTTTTTTTGTTTTTGTTTTTTTAACAACAACATGCAAGTACAAATGCTACTATGGTCTTTTAAAGCTAACTGTGATGTGCATTACTTCCACTGTTGCTCAATCTTGTTCAAAGATTATTTTCTTCCTGCATTGACTGGCAAGCTAATAGGCCTTGTTTCTTTCTCTGCTGTGACCTTCGCTCTCTCTCCCCCCTCTCTCTCCTCTCTTTCCGCTGTCTTCTGCCCTCCGTGATCCTACACTACTAACACTTTTTTAGACGTCTTGTGGACGCTTGGCTTCAGTGCTGTGTTGTTTTTTACTTTTATTGCACTCTCTATTGAAGAAAAAAGTTTGAAAAGTCGCATTTAATTTTCCTAGAATGCTTACTATTATCTATGTCTGTACGCCATTTTTCTACCATTTTAGTTGCTTCTCTTCTATTTTAATCATTAGTCATTTTTATGTGGCGACCTCAAACATTTGCAGCATATGCCAGTCTGAGGAGTTTCATTGCTTCATATTGTGATCTGAAATTTTATACATGTCATAATAATACTTGATATGTACCTATTAAATATTTGGATTCCAGAAAAAAAAAAAAAAACCTGCTTCTTTTCTTTTTGTCCTGTATTTAACAGATTTCACGCAGCTAATGACTTTAGATTTAGATTGTAAAATGTGAAGTCGGTAGATTATAGTGAGTGACGCTAATGTCTCTACCATGAAATTAATATCTAAAGTGGTCAAGCAGACCAACTCCTACTCCCAAATTAATTTATAGTGATGTTAATCAAAGCTCTCTGACATTAGGCCAACTAATTATAGTTTTTGTCATAGAAAATTAATAATAAAATTCCCATAAAACCCTTTAAAGGCGTATATTTAGTAACTCTACATTATATTTTCCACCAAACTGCTGTTGTTGGATACTTTGTTCTGATGAATGATCAGATGATGAATTTCTTGATACAAATGGTAAACGTTTCCTGCTATAGTTAAGTTAAACAGGTGGTGTGTCTTTGCAAAATTAAAAAAAAAAGTGAATTTTACAGCCTTTCGTGCTTTAAATTGGCACAATCACTATTCTCCTCAGTCAGTATGTAGTGGAAATAACTGAAGCTGGTCTACAGCAGATAACGCTGTGTCCACATGGGAAGGGATACAGATTCTGATGTTAGTTTCTAGTTAATTATTGTTGCTGCCCACTGAATACCGAAAAACCTACACCTTTCATCAAACTGTTTTAACTCGATACAAGAAGCACGTCACTGGCCAGGCGTAAACTTGGACTGCAGCTTGAGCTGTGCTGTCAAAGAACGCTGTGTGATGTTTCGCCATTAAAAATACACTACGTTACATCATAATTAGCACTTACAAATCCCATTAGTTTCAATTAAACAGTAATAGCCCTTATGTTATGGAAGATATTTTGACATGTCACAGCAGGAAAATAATAAAAATCAGTGATAGTTGAAGTGCATTTAGCAGCTTTAGGTGGCTCACTGTCACAGCTGACTGGGGAGCTTGAGAACAGAACCATTGTTAGTAACACCTGTGCTTTTCCTACTGTGACATGTCAAAATGGCTGCTG